AAGGTTGAGCGTGCCAGCTGCTCGTTCCTCCTCTGTTCCTGGGTAGTATAACTGGTGCGTGCTTGACTTTTTCCAGATCACAGGGGGTTTAAATGACATGTATGGTATGTCCTTGGTGCATGTCATCGTCTGCCAGCTCTTCAAGGATTTCTAAGGATTTAAGCTTGCTTACTGTTTGAACACAGGATGAGTAGCGATTCCTGTTCTCTGGCATGCGTAGGGCTTCCCTGGGGGTGGAAAGGGAGACTGCAGTTCAGGGCGGTTCTCACTTATTTAGCATTTCCCTGTACAAAAGCCGGGAGTTTTCCAGCGCTGCTGCAGCCTGCCTGGGACGCAGTCATTTGTGGAGAACTCCTGGCTGCTGCTGGGGTTATATCGGCATGTAACAATACCTGTCTGGCTCACGAATGTCAGACAAAGCTGTCATAAATCTCTAAGCCCAGCAGTAAAATTAATGGGAATTGCAGGGAGCAGGACCTTGTCAGCTTCATAATAGGGTTGTGGGTGGAAAAAAATTCTCGTGCTTTCCTTCAGGCGTTAGGCAACCGAGCAACTGATGCTCTGTGGCCATTATCCAATTATAAGTGCTTTTTGCTCAGAAGCATTCGGTAGTTATTGCTTTTAATGTGTCAAAGTTAAATAGTCACCAGCACAGAGCGAGGGCAAGGGAACAGACCCGGGCCGACAAAACCCGGCGTGGCGGCGGCGGGGCCCAACCTTTTCCCCGTTCTGCAATGTCCATCTGATCGGTATCAGCCGGGGTGGGGCGTCCTGTTTACGTCCCCGAGAAGGACTGGTGGTGCTGGCCACCCCACCTTGCTGGCAGGGTGAGGGGTCCGGACCCCATGTACCAGCTGGGACAGCCCCAGGGCCCCCAAAAAAGGGGGAGCCAGCACTGAGATCGGCCTGCTGCAGGCAGCCGCCTCCGCGTCACGTTGAATGGTATTTACACCACGTTTCAGGGTTTCTGCCGGTCACCCGCCGTGACCAGGAAAATATTTTTGTCCCCTTGGCCGCATAACTTGGCTCCTGTTTTCTTGTTGTTGTTGTTTTTTTCCTCCTGCCTGTGGAGCTATTAGCCACGGCCAGAGCCAAGGCGTGGGGCAGGATGTGCTGCTTGTCTGGAGGCACGGACACGCGGCTCAGCTGCACGGCGTTCAGGAAATTTTCCGCTGGCTGGCACGTGATCCACCATACCACGAAATGGTCAGCACGGCCACCGCGGGGTCACTCCCGAAATGCCCCAGCACGGCCAGGCTGCTCCGGAGGCCGAGGGCCTTTGGTGGCGCAGGGGGGCTGCCGGGTGCTGACCGGCCGAGCCTGCTCAGAGCCTGTGGCTGGCCACCTGCCATGTGCACGTCAGCGACCAGCCACCAGCTTGTGGCCTCCCCGCTTCGCTGGCCAGGAAGCCCTCCTGCAGCTCTCAGCCCTGGGAACACAAGGGGCAAGGGCAGCCACGGCTGGGGTCCCACATCCCTGTGCCTGCCTGCAGCAGTGTGGGCAGCTGCTGATGGCACCGCTTGTGCTTCAGCTCTGTTTAACATCCCTGCCCCTGTGAGGGTGGATTCAGCCCCCTGCTCTGCTTTCTGAGTGCCCTTGGTGGCACTTTTTAAGCTACCAAAGGACATTTGTGTCTTCTGGCCTGCAGACCTGACCCTGCAGGGGGAACTGGGCAGCTGTAAAGCCCCTCTCAGCACGCTCCTGGGTCTCTCTACGGCTGCTGGTGGGTGCAGGGGATTCTTGCATGACAGGCACCTGCCACTGCCACCTCATGTCAGGGGGGCAAAGCTCTGGTCCCGGTCTTTGTATGTGGAATGAAGTTTGCTTATCTTCTGCAGGTGTTAGGAAAGCCCACATAAAGGTTATGCAGCAGATGTGACCACATGGAGGCCATACAAACACTCAAGGTCCAAACACGAGTTACACCTGATGCAAACAAAGGAGAGGAGAACCAGCTCTTATGAAGAGCAGAAACAGAGCAACTGCATTGCTACAGCTATAAATTTTAAGGTTATGATGTTAAAGATATTGCCTACTGAACCACATAGAGAAGACATGTGAATCCAGCATGGGAAATACAGGCATGGGAAATACAGTGATGACAGATCTTTACTCCTGTCCTTAGAGGTTAATGCTAGCCTTATGGATGGATGCCTGATTTTAATCTCTTTTTCCTTTGTTTCAGTACCTCAGCATGTGTCCAATGCCTGAAGCTGGACTGGATTTTGCACCTGCTGAAAGGGGTGCACATCCACAGCAAATCAGTTCAGGGAAACATCATTAATGTTTTAGGAAGCAATTTTATTCTTCTCATTAATTTTCATACAGACCCAAGGGCCTTTTGCCAGCCCTGCTTTCCAGATGACTTAGAATGCAGGTCCTGTGTTCAGTGAGTGCACATGAAGTCTACGCACAGCACTGAGAGAACAGACCAAAGGAAGAAATGTTGGCAGTGTGAGCAGCCTGCCCAGGCCAGCGAGCTCAGACATGTGAGCAGAGAAAAGATATATGGGAAATGCAGCAGCAAGGATCCCATTGGGATGCATGGCATCCAATCAGCCTTCTTGTACGCCTCTCCTACTGCTCAGAAAGTGTCCCCATAGAGCTTGGAAATGCCTTGAACTGCAGGTCACATTGCAGGGAACAAGACTTGGGCATGCCAACATCTTCTTCGGCCTGTGTGCATCAGTGGGGCTTCAACATATCTGTGAGCACATCACCTCTGTGGGCACATCACCTCCACGAGTACAGCACGTCTGTGAACACATCACATCTGTGAGCACTCAGCGTTGCTCTTGCTCTGAACAAGCCACTGCAGTGACAGAGCAGTGAGGGGCTGGGCACGGCCTGGAGCTGGGCTGGGCATGCAGAGCAGGTCCCCAGCGCCTGGTACTGCACGTTACCCTCTTGACCACACTAACATTTGCAATAAGCCAACAAGTTTTCCATATATAGTACATTTCCCAGCTCGTGAGTCTTGCTGAGGCCTCACTGCCCTCCCTTGCAGCAATAAAAGGCATTTGTAATGTTTCCGTGCTGAACTGTGGGAAAAGAGTGGTAAGAAGCGGTGACCCCTGGGTACAGGCATGCTTTGGAAACACCGTCATCGAAAAATCAACACATCCGTCCAGGAGGGCTACAGGCAGCCGGCCTCCTCCTGCCGTACTACAGCCAGTGCTCCTCTGGACGCCGGGGCAGCAGCCACTGGACATTTCTGAGATGTTTATTCTGTCCGCTGTTGATACTGCATGTCAATACAATAACTAAAAATAGAGATTAAAAAAATAATAAAGCAAAACAAAAACAAAAAAGCAAACCCAACCACACAACACTGCAGCTATTTGTTCCCGAGTTGTTCTGTTTACCCGTACTGGCCCTGCTCTCCATTTGGGCGGTCTGGTACTACCAGATGTTCAGTCACATTCAGCAGCATGGTCGCATCCCAGAAGGTTTCTCCCTGCAGCACATCTACATTAAACACGCCTGTAACTTTCCATGGTGGCTGGAGGGGTGCCTTCCTCTGTGGCGAGCGACGCCTGGCCAGGACAGGCCCTGCGCATGTGCCACCAGCCCAGCCCTGAGCCCTGCAGAGCCAGGGGAAAGCTCACCCTGCCGGCAGTGTTTTACTTAGTGAGAAACTGTGTGTGTAACATCATGTCCCTGAGGGAGGACGTGGGGTATCCCAAGAACATGTGGGGTGCGGCCTTCTCCAAACACCAAGCGCCATGTTAGTGAAAACTATTGGGCAAATCTGGGTGGCCCGTCCTGCTCTTTTTTCCACAGGTAGCAGTGACGGCAGACAACAGTGGAGAAATCTGCACGTGCTCAGCAGATTATTTAGTTTAGTATGTTGTCCTGACAACCCTCATGTCACGGGATTTGGGTTTGGAGATACACAGTAGAAGGAGGGACTGAAATCCCGTAAACTTGCGCTGGCAGGGCTGGGTGTCCGCCTTCTCTGAAGAGCTTATGGGTGAACACACCAGAAAGAGCAAAGAGGTCTCCTGTGTGTATCTTGGGAAAATGTAGGTTTGGTCATATCTGAACATGCTGGGTGGGCTGGATTTGGCAACCTGGTCTGGTGGGAGGTGTCCTGCCCATGTCATGGGGGTTAGAACCAGGTGGTCTTTGAGGTTCTTTCCAACCCAAGCCATTCTATGATTCTCCATGGATCTATTTATTCTATGATAAACTCACTCAGTTGCAAAGATTTATGTCCAAATGTGCTTTTCTGGCTGGGAAGGGCTTGCCTGGCCACCTTGCTACTGTGAGGTGATCTCACATGAATGGAGGCAACTACTGATGTTGGGTTGCTTTCCTGCTTTGCAGATGGCTTAACTCTGTGCTTCACTGCAGGTACAGTCAGCCTTTCTGCAGTAGAGTCCTTGGCTTAGCCCTGTTGTGACTTCAGACTGCGTGACAAACTTCACACCACAGGGCATGGGAGCTGAGACTGCACCCAGCTCAGTCAGCTTCAGAGTCTACATCCAGAAGTCAAGGTCCCTAACAGCACCACCAAGAGCCTCTACCTCCTCGCTGCTCATTTCTGGTACTTAATTTCACTCTGCAGTGCCCTTGAACACATTTTGCCACAGTGTTTGCTTCCTACAGTTGTTTTTTTTTTTTCCTTTATAGTTTCAAATATTTCAAATGTAGGCAGCGAGCCTGGTTTCATATGTCCTTGACTTGGTGTTTATTGGTTACTGCTCTGCAGATCAGCTACCAGGTTTGTACAGATGCAAGGATCCAGACAGCATTGAAAATATTTAGGTAGCAATTCCCCCTCTTCTGAGAAGAGCCTATGACTAAGACTCCTCAAAGAGACCTGAAGCTAGCTTTCTGTGAGCCATCCAAGTGACTTGGCTTTTTATCATATGGCAAATGTTACCCCCCAGGGAGGAAAACATGCCCCACAGCAGCTTCTTTTCACACTTAGCTGTGCTCTTCAGTAGCATGAAGACCACAATGCCAGCAGTATAAGCAGGAGCAGGAGACCAAGATGTTGAAATCATAATATATTTATTACATAGATGAGATATAAAAACAAATTACCAAAATAGTATCATTTTTTTTTTTTTGTGAGTCCACAGGACCTTGAAAGAAAAATACATACGTAAAGCAGATTGGTAGACTTGTAGCTTTTATGATGTTTTAAGTCTGCCTTTTCTTTCCTCTCATACTCCAGAACAAAATACACTCTATGCAAGGTGGTTTAAAGATGCTTTACAGAAAAGATATACTTTAGTGCTGAAAACTGCAGTAAACTGTGCTATATTCCATACTGGTGTTAATGAGGAAGTATAATGGCCATATATATTGCAAACAATAACACAGAAGAAAACAAATCAAACATTCAGTTTTAAATACTAACATAAAAATAAAATAAACTCCAGGCCCATCGTGAATCACTGGGTAGGGATATGTGAATGGGAGTCCTTTCCATTCTCCGGATCCACTCCTTCTCCTGCAGGCAGAGTTTCCTCCTCTGGCAATTGCATTTTTATTCCAAAGTCTCTTCTTTTCGTACTGCTTGCCAAGTCTTGCTGGAGTCCTGCCCATGGAGTCCGAGCGCTGGTCTGAAGCTGGGACTTCAGTGCAAATGCTTACTATCTTTCAGACTGCACCCTGGGATGCTGTGAGCGGCCCGTGCCAGGCTGGCTGTTCCCTTTATGCCGTCAACGCTGTCCAGCTGGGGCGTCTTCAGGAGTGCTTCTGTTTCAAGAAGGTTTTCTCAAGTGCCACCTTCAGCCTCTTCGTTCCCCAACACAATCCGGCCTTCCACACCGTGAAGTGGCAGGTAGTAAAGTGCTTTATACTATGAAATATTTACAAGGGGCTGGGTTCATATTTTAACACTTCAAGGACAAGTGCTCAGAGATGCCGTGCCCTGCGGAGCCGGCTCTTCTCCGCAGCGAAGGCAGAGAGCCAGCACCCGCCCTGCATCACACGTGCACGAGGGCAGAGGAATTCACACCACCTGGCAGGTCTGCCCGCACGAGCACGAGCAGGGGGTTGAGCCCCTGCAGCCTCCAGCGGGATGGCGAGGTGAGGAGCAGGCAGCACCCAGCCCTCTGCCACGGGCGCCTGCTGCCAGCCCTGCCCGCCCTGCAGCTGCCTCTGGGAGTGACTCCAGATCCATGCTGGTGGCACTGGCAGCACTTCCCAGCTGCAGATCATGGGCAGGCTTTCCCCCTGGCAGGTGGAAAAATAGGTCGGGGTGATGGGTGGCTTCGTGGGTGTTGCTCTGGCACTGCCCTGGAGCCAGACCAGAGGCCCCCCTCCCTTCTGTTTCCCCTCAAAGAGCCAGGCTCAGGGAGCGCCTGGCAAGGAAGCTACAGGCGAGTGAATGGGCATTGACCAGGAAGGGTTAAATTAGACAGTGCCTACAAATCATAACGCCTCGCTACGCGTTTTGGCACTATTTTCTTACGTTCCAGTTTTCATCCTAGAGATCTTCCCTCTGTGAAGGCTTTTGCATTTTGTGCATGAAGAAATGCCCTAGGGGTTGTGCACATCTAGTTGCAGTCTCTCTTCAAAATCTCCAGGACCTTTCTTCCAAGAGCTGACTTCCACTGGTGGACAAAGCTTTTCATGTTGACGATGAGCCTGCCTGTCCGCACATCCTCGTGTCCTGCCACCAGGTACTCCAAGCCTGCAAACCAGCAAAGTGGTCAGGGACTGCACAGCGCTGTGCTCATGAGGGCTATAATTGTGGCAAACAGCCTGAACTATCTAGTCCTGAGTAAAAAAGCATTTATAAAGAGAAATATTGGCATTTATGGCTTTCAACTATGCCTGCATATCTACACCTTCATCTGTATCTATGCAAAAACGATCCCAGAGGTGCAGCTGTCACAGAGATGCTATAAGCAAGCTTTGATTGTGCTGGCTTCTAAATATAAATTGAATTTGAAGTCTTGGGGCTGGCAAGACAAGTTTCTGTACCTTGTTTACAAACTGATGCTGCACTCATTTGGCAGCCACCTGCCTCAGGCCTCCCTTAATACCTGGAAATTGGTCAGCTGAGCTCATTCCAGCAGTGACCGTGCAGGATGGCCCCATGCTTGTGTACTGCTCAAAATCCTCCTGATGCTGTGGGGTAAATGAAACATAGAGGGGAGAAAAACTTTCCTTTCAGCCTCCTTGTAAAAGTGCATTGCATTTTCTCAGAAATGACATTCCCAGTGATTTCCACAGTGTTTTTTTGGAGCATTCATGTGCCTGCGTATATATGAGTGGCACGCGAGCATCCTCCCTGTACCCTGGCACTGCCAGGATGTCATGCACCAGCCCAGTTTTCCAGCTGGATGCTGGTGAGAGGGTGGAAAGGTGCTCCTGGCTCTGGGGCATGGCTCACGGGGCACTTGGAGCCACGCAGAGGTTGCCTGGGGGGAGGACGGGGTGAGGCTGCCCCAGGGCAGGTGGGGACCCAGGGCCCTTCCAGTCTCCCAGCTCCAGCCCGGCCGCAGCAGGCAGTCAGCTCGTGTTTTCTTGGGTTTTTGTTTTGCTACTCATAAGGGAAAGCTGTGGCAGGGGGACAGTGTCCTCTATTTAAAGGTCAAGCATGTTTTCTTTAATTCAATACAATTTGTTATCTACTCCATCTGAGCTTCTGGGCACACACATCCTCTCTTCTGCCAAGTAAACACAGGATATGTGCCTGGCAGGAATAGCCTTTGTGAGACCTTCATTTTGGCCATGTCAATCCTGCTGCTGTAAACATCACTTTTCAAGGGCTCCTAAAACTACTTGCTTGAGAGAAAAATGTGGCACACACTCTCCAGGAGAAAGCTATTATTGCTTTGGCTGCTGATTCTCTTTCTGTAGGAAGATACAGCCCCCTAGATCATCAATTTGGCTTTACAGAAGTGTAAAACCAAAACAAAACGAACTACCGAGGTGCTACAAGCCAGCTCTAGAGGCTGTCAGCTTTGCCTGTGTTGCTAGCAGGGAGTGCTCTGCTTGTGCGTGTGTGTGGCAGAGCTGAGATTCGGACAGGTTCCTGCTCCGCGCAGACAGCCAAGATGTTGGCATCTTTCTCTGTCCTCCCAAAAACCCAGCCTGCCCTGGTGAGCCTGTGTGCAAAGGAAGGTGTGCCAGTGTGGGGAACACCCTCTCTCAGGAACCTCAGCACATTTATCATCTGGAAACAGCCTGTGGAGATCTGATAAATGCAGGGAGGTTTTATTTTGTGTCAGAACATTTAAGAGCCTACCCTCCATTTGGTATCACATCAGCACTGTGAAACACAACAAAAATTTGTTTTTCTTTCTTCTGCTTTTATATAGTTTTTAAAATCGCCTCTATGTTTTTAGGAGATGTGATCTTCATTACAGCTAGAAATTGCTTTATGTCAGCCTGGATTTTTATCCTGCTGGTGGTGGTAGTTTACTCATCTGGAGGTCACAAGCTCTACTCCAAGAGAGGGTTAAGTCTGCTAATATGGTATTGCCAACCACCCAGAAATGAATGTGGTAGCTAAAGGAAATCATGAGACTGTAAAAAATATTTGGGATCTCCCCCCCCTTTTTTTTTTCATTTTGAAGTGATTGATTGATTGGTTCTTTAAGGTGCACTCAGCTGATGTTTTCAAGTTTCCCACCAGGACCAAGAGATATTCCAAACTCCAGCAGCTGCATTTCAAGAAAACATCAAGCTTTGTGAGGTAAGCCACGAGAGCTGGCAACACTGCAAATACAGGAATGGGCTCCCTGTTTGGGACGGGACCAAAGCAGCACGCACCGCTGCCCTGAACCAGCTGCTGCGACTCCTTCTGCAGCTGGCCAAAACTGGCTCCTCTGCAGCACCACGGGGAGAGCCTGGGCTGCTAAAATGTAATGGCCTGCAGTGGAGAGAGCTCAGCAGACACTTTGCAGAAGCCTAAAATATCATGGAGGTGATGGTCGTGTGGCGTGGCAGCGATGTTGTGAGTGGCCAGGAAAGGGATAACTCCTGATGTGTCAGACACCTAAACGCAGTCGCAGCCTCACTCCTCTGCTGATGTCTAAGCAGCAGCAATCTTAATGGACTGTGTTCGCTGCTCTCTTCTCTGCTGGGGGAAATCAGGGAAGCTCCCTGAAGCTTACAGACTCACAAAGCTGGGTGTCAGGTGCAGGGCTGCCCCGTGCAGTTGGTGTCTGAAAGCTTATGTTGCTTTCCTCCAGGTTTGTATTAAGGCAGATTATGCACTGGGCTTTCTGGCTTGTGTTTGCATTGCATACAGAAAATTAAAACATCTGTATCTATTTCATTACAGATTTATGGTGTTTTACCACTACCCAAAGTCTTGCTGTGCTTAAACAGTGAAGTCCTGCCTCATGCTGCTGATCTGTCTGACCCTTGCACCTGACCAACTGCAGCCGTACTATCAGGGCAGGCTGCCTTCAAAGCCAAATACTCCGGTGGACATGAAAGAAGACTGCAAATGCCTCATCAATGAGTAACCTTTCTGTGTGATACAGCCTTGCAGACAGCACCGTCCCCTTAAGGAAGCTCCTAATGCTGCACATATAGAAGAAATCTCAGTACTGAAGTCAACGCTTTGATCAGTGATTGCCAGGCAATGTATGCACCTTAGAGAAAGAAAGTCCTTTATCTGAGTTTGTAACTCTTGGTTTATCTTGGAGTTGTAAAGAAAGCTGTGTCAACCGTATCTTGGTTTTGCTCTGTTGAAGAAAACCCTGACTATGCATTTCCCCTCCTAATGGGACTACATGCACAGTTTAACCAGAACTGATTATACTTCATTTCAGTGAAAGATGAGAAAAAACTATGCAGCCAAAGCTTCCCTTGCACTGCATAAGAGAGGCTCTTATGAGAGCCATAAGAGAGGCTCTGAACCTTGCAGATGCTAAGTAATGTTAGTTTGAAAGAGACATCTTCCCTTGAGATTAGACTCTATCTTCAGTACAATATAATGACACAGATTAGATTTAAATGTGCTTTTATGGATCCCAATTAGCATTAGTTTTGGAAAGGTCTGACATATAGTCATGGTGCAACATCCATCTACCTCCCTGTGGGAACACACTGAGACTGGTACAGCTGTAATGCTGTTACTATGCTCCAGGAAGAGCAATTGTACTTGCAAAAGTCTGCAGAATGAACCAAGGTTTTCTCTACAAAATTCAAATTTGACAGAGATTGCTGTTGGAATCCAAATGATTTAGAAGCCAATACTTTAATGAGCACTGGGTTGCAGTTTTAAACTCATTGGCATGAGGGGACTGAGGACTGAGGATGAAATCTGTGTGAATACGGTGGGGATGTATTTCCTGGGGATTCAAACCTACCAGGATTGAGGATTGGACAAGTGCAGCCTCTGTTAGTCCAGGACTCAGGGTAGAGTGTCCTCTTGCCCCGCAGGATCTTCAGCTTTGTAGATTTCAAGACTTTCTTGATCTTCACATTGACTTCAGCATGAGAGCCCTTGTCATGCGCTGACAAGATCTTTGTCTTTATCACTGAGAAGATAGGAATTAAATACAGCAATATATAAATAATTTACAGTGGTCTTTTTTGTGTCTAGTGCAGGTCTGGGTGAAATGGTGAGACAAATGACTGTGCTACACTGGTGTTAGCCAGATGCTCCTTGCTGGGGAGCACAGCTGCAGGGGGAATGCCCGTTTCCCCACACCTGTGGGCAGGGACACCACCAGATGGTCTGGCCACGGCCCCTGGACTTGCCACGCAGGCAGTGGGAGAGGCCCCATGACCTCATTTTCAAAACTTGTAAGAGTCAAGTGGTGGAGGCTCAGGGCCCAGGTTCCACACATCAGCCAGCCCTGGACCACACTGATGCCTCCAGCGGTGCTTTATTCAGCACTGCATGTTATGAACCACGGGGAAACCTTTCCTCTGACGGTATGGCCTCCTGAAACTCGTGATGAGCCCCATAACTCATCTGTCTCTCCAGCTGAGCTGACACCTTTGCATGTTGAGTGATGAAAGGGTGGGAAGCCTGAGTGCACTTTAGATAAGATTTATGAACTTGGGTTTTTCGTGCCTTTTTTTCATTTCTTATCTTTTGCAAGATTAAACACAGTCACTATCGCAGCCAGGAAGCAAAGCAAAGCAAAATCAGATTTTTTCTAATATCACTAAGCCAGAGCTATATTTCAACAACTAGCGGCCCCTTGAACTTCTCTTTGTGGGCTGCTTCACAGCCTGCAGAGGTGTGGATTATCTCCCTGCACATTTTCAACTTTACTGCAAGACAAAACAGGTGCAAGAAACCTCTGGAAGGCTTTGACGGGAGGGAGTGCTGCACAAAGCATTCCTTGCTCTGCAGCAGTATGAGGGAGGTGGTTCGCTGGCACACACCAGAGAGGTCTTGGGGAATAAAGTGCCTCCTCTCATTCATTCAGATCCAATGTGCAATGCCCACATCACCCCACTGCATCAGCTGAGCTCTGCCAACAGGGTGAAGCTCCCAGTGGCTGCCAGAGCTGTCTTCTCTGTGTGTTGTCTTCTGTGGTGATCCCTGTCTCTTCTTCCACTCACTGTAAGTCAGATTTAGTGATTCAGTGCTCAGGGCCCTTCCAGCTCTTGCCTTCCCATGATTTCGGCACAAGGGTACTTTGGTAGCAAGAGGGGCACCTAACAGCAAGATGCTTCACCCAGCTTGACTAGGCACCATGGGATCTATGTTCCTTGGGAAGTGCAAACGTCTGTCCTGAGACTAAGTAGCCCATGGGTCTGCAGGGCAGACACACTGCATTGCTGAGTGCATGCAGAGGTGTTAGGGGACACAGGGGCTTGGGACACTGCCTCCCTTATCCCCTGCACAGTGATTGAATGTCAGACTGTGTCTGTGTGCTGGAGTTTGCTCTTAGGGGATGCTGCTCCCCTCTTCAGAGGCTTGGTCCAATACCATATACCAATACTTCTGTAGGACCTCCCTGTAGGCCCCCACCACCTCACCGCAACTCACCATAGGTGTACTTCATCCCACAGAAGACCTTGGGATTGCCCAAAACTTGTTCTTTACACTCGCATTTACCTGTGGGAAGAAAGCAAAGTGAACGTCTGTGAATCATGCCTCCCAGCAGGGAGCTTCACAGGGGTCAGGAGCAGGTAGGAGACCTTTGCCACCACCTGTGGTGAGTTATGTGGGCCTGGTTGGGGAGAAAAGGAGGTGTTGGAGATGGCTGCTGTGATGGGCAGGATCATGGTCCCAGCCCCCCTGCTACAGAAGGGGCTTGGCCACACCACAAGGACCTGCCAAGGGTTTTTCATGAGGTCCACAAGCCCCTGCAAAAAGCCCTGTTTTCAGATCCAGGCTGAACACACAGCCTTAGTCCAAGGGCAATCATTCCTTGTTTACAATTTGAAGAGAAGGGAAACAAAGGCCTTATTATGTGGCCTCAGGATGCAAATAACATGCATGTCTTTCCCTGTGGTATTTTCCACACTGTAATGTACCAGACACGATTCTAGAAGGAAACGTCGCAGAGGTTAAGGCAGATTAATGACTTCCGTGCTCTTAGAACAAAGAATAACACGATATACTTATTTATGCTCCAAATTAAGTTGCCCGGACAAATGATGGAGCTCTCTCCTCAATTAACTCAATTATCGGTATCTGTAAGATTTTATCGTGCCGTTCTGTGCAAACGCAGGCAGTTACACCTGCCTGCCTGGTTGTTTTCGCGGGAGGCCGAGGCCGTCAGCAGCCACCAGGCCATGGCAGTGCCTCGTCCAGCCCGGCGGGGCAGGGGGCAGGAGCCTCCCCAGCTGGATCTGCAGCCAAATACCAGGCAAGGGCGACTCGGCCCCTCAGCACAACCCGTGCCAGAGCAGGGCCTAGCGGGGCGCTGGGCACAGCTGGCTGCTGGCAGTGGGATGTGGCGGGGGCACATGGGGCCCTGGTCCTACCAGAGTGCCGCAGCGCTGAGAAGCCCTGCTCGTCCTCCCAGCCCCAGGAGGGCTCGGCTCTCGTTGAATGCCGGTGGGAAGGGAAGAGCTTCCTGCTGCCAGCTGGGGTCTGAGCTGCTGGGGGAAAGCAGAGGGTCAGCCAGCCATCCTCCTGCCGCCGGCAGAAAGCAGTGTAACTAACAGCCCGTGCCGCTCCGCCACACGCCTTGGTGGTGATAAATGCACACAAGTGAAAGGGGTGACCGAGGGTTGTCAGCCTGGGCCATTAACCCAGTTTTGGTTTAAAATCTGCTACAGGAACTTCTGTGATATAAATATCACTGGTATGGTAGAAAAGCATGCTATGAGATCCAGACAGTGGGCTATCATCCAAACATGCCGCCTTCTAGAAATCAGAGCTCAACCACCCAGCACAGTCAATGCAAACTGAGTTGCAACAGCAACTATATCGAGCCTTTGGTCTCCGTGTGCTCACGTCTCCCTGAAGCTCACAGAGAGGAAAAAGCTGTGAAGGGTATGGAGAGCACCCACTACATTCACACCAGCACCAAGCACCAGCAACACCACCGCAGCAGTGCCCACCACCCAGAAGAACCACGGCATCAATACCCCTTCCACCCAAAACCCCAGACAGCTCCAGATGTGGTTATTTCGCAGTTATTTCACACATGAGAGCCAGGCAGGAGCCTGCCCTATGCCGGGGGGCAGCCAGGACCCCCACTCACCTGCTGCTGCGGCAGTCGCCGGTGTGCGGGTGGCAGCTGCGGGCGCAGTCACAGGGCCGGCAGCCGTCGGCGCCGAAGCCCCAGTACCCGGGCAGGCAGCGGTCGCAGCGGGGCCCTGCCACACCGGGCTTGCAGGGGCAGTCACCGGTGCTGGGGTCACAGAAGGTGCGGGGACCCAGGGGCAGCGCGGCCGATCCCAGCGGGTGGCAGGAGCAGGCTGCGGGGACACCGCGGGAAGAGTCAGTCTGGAGTACCAGCAGCTCTTTGGCCGCCAGGAGGTTAAGAAGCCCATGCCCAACAGTCATTTTAATTAAAGTCTGATTTTCTTTAAAAGCCATCATTTCAAAATATCAAAGGAAAAAGGATGAGGACACTGGCAGCCCAAAGACGAGCTTTTCTGCATACTCTGAGGCATGGGGCATGGGTCTGCAGAGCATGTGTGAGCAGCTTCTCCTCCAGAACAGTGCCCACTGCTCTCCTGCCCTCCCCAGCACCCTGAACACAGGGAGATGAACTGGGAGTGCACTGGGATGTGCTGGAAGAAATGACCACGCTCACCAGTCAGAAATGATACCCTAAAATAGGTGGTTTGTAATTTTCCTTGCCTGATTCTCTCTTTTTTTTTTTTTTTTTTTTTTTCAGCAGAAGCATAATTCATACCCATTGCAAAACTAGGACTGTTTTCCCTTCTAGGATATTAATCTTTTTAAAAATCAGAAATATGGTTATCAAAAGTTCAAGCCCAACGCAGGGAGGCATTACCCTGCACCCAGGCTGGGTCTCTGACCACAGCACCCTGTGTCACCCCGGTCAGCCCCGTGTGTGATGGCAAAGAGCCCAGGTGGAAAAAACCCTCTCTGAGCAGGGGAGCAGCCGCTCAGAGCATGGCCATGAAACCTACGGCATTGCTTTGTGTTCATAAATCATTCAACTTTAGCAACCCAAAAGACTGAAATAAAAATAAAGATCCCCTGTGGAATACTAGAATATTTTTGTCTAAATCTCTGTTTATATAAAAAAAAACATGGATTTCCTGAGGAAATTTCATTTGGAGGGAAAATTTTCACCAAATTCTAAAAATATTTTTATTTTGCAACTGTGAAGGCAATAAAACAGAAAGGCCACTGAGTGTGACACAACCTCTCTTTTTTTTTAAAAATCCTTACTGCTGTGCACATTTATCTAGTTTTGATCTGATGACAGGTCTGTGGTTTCAGGGCTCTGACATATCTGGAGTGCAGTTTCAAAATATTAAAGGATGAGTTAATATTGGCAGTCAACTTAGAGGAGACTGCGATTCCAAAATCTTTGCCAAAGTAATCCCCAACTTTTCCCCACCCTTTCCATTCCCAAACAAATATAATTATATAAAATTAAAAGATTAGAAAGCCTCTCTGCAAACTGCATAACTAGCTGCAGGCAGTGAACTCTGGTCCCTTTAATAGCATAGTTTTCAACAGCGCTCAGCTCGAGTCGCATACCTTTCTCCTGAAGTCTGTGAAGTTTCTTACACCTGACACATGTATCCAAATGCTCTATTTTCCTCCTAGATGCAGTGGGTATTTATGGCATTCCTCAGCCCCTCCGGGGGAAATACTGAGCCTTGACACTTTCCTGTCCCCACGCAGCCAGTGCTTGGAGAGAGGGAGCCCAGTCCTGTCTCGGTTGAGTTTCAGCTGAGTTTCACTCCCAGCCCTGTTAGCGTTTTTATGTGGCTTTTTATGTTTTAGGCGATGCTTTTTCATATACTTTTTTTTCCCTAATGGAAAATTTAATGTCAATGACAACATCATGGTGAGGAAAGAACATTAAATTTACAAAAGTCCTTATGAAAAATGCAGGCCTCGTGGAAAATGCACCCACTGTTTGTGGGCTTTTGATCCTGAAGACACTGAGAGGATGCACAGGCACAGAGCACGAGTGCCAGTACGAGGCTTGGGGACAGCACCCACACGCACACTGCTGGCACCCCTCCGGGCTGGGCACCGCTGGGCTGGGACTAGGGAAAACCTGCCACAGGCTCCACCTGGCTGCTTTCCTTTCCATTCCTAAGCAGCAGCAGCATTAAGATGGCACTTTTCCCCCCTGCAATACATGGTTGCATGTGGCACGAGACCTCCACACCCATATAAACGGAAAGTTGCCCATCCCTGCTCCCCAATGGGGACTGAGAGGCGGTGAGAGGGATTCCTGAAGGGTGGATTTCACCCCCCAACTGCTGATACTGGTGTGGTTTCTTGAGCTGACAGCTTGCCTTTGGAAATGACAAATATTTACCCTCAAAAACCTACAGTTTAAAAGCAAAAATAAACTCGGCAGCTATAAAGGCTGATTTATTGTCGTTAATCATACTGTAGCTGAGGCTTAAAAATTCATGGGGGACATAAAGAAAAGGACCGATAGGTATGGCGGGGGGAAAGAGTCATCAGATTGCTCTTTTAAACAGCAGAACGTCTTGTTCTATCTGGTACACACCTACTCCTGAGCAAATATTATATATGCTCTTCGCCTACAAGAATCTTTAAAGTATCCTTAGAGATTATGGCTTAACAACTCCTTTATTTACTTTGACCTTGGTATTTTAAAATTTTCATCACGGCTCCGCAGTTGAGCAATAACAGGGGTTTGAGCCAGAAGCAAGTAAGCAACGCTGTGGCCTTCCCTGAAAGAATAACTGGGCATCTCCCTTGTCCCTTGTTATTGCAAACCACGGCACGGTCCTTGGAAATGTTCCAGCTGAGGGCTGTAATCAGTCATATAATTTAATTTAACAGTCATTAGTCATTCGCTGTTCAGCTGGAGCTACGGTACATAGCCCTAACCTGCTGTAGGGCTTGGAAAATGTCGTGGTGGGAGAAAAAAACACCACAGCCTGGCCAGGGCAGCCCAAGGGGTAAGAGGGCTCGTGGGCAGCACCTGGCATGCACCAGGGTGGCTGCAGCAGGACCCTCCTGGCAGCCCTAAATCAGCCAGCGTGAGCCCAGGAGGGAAACTGCAAAGGGTCTTAGGGAGGAGAACATCTGTGAGGGGTTCAGAAGCCCGGGGAGAAAAGATCTGTGTGTTTGTAGCAATATGATCTTTGAAGGGACAGCATGCAGATATTCCCTGCATTTTCATGGAAGCAGTTTGTGCTGGGGAAAGTTGCCTCCCTGAAATGCTTGAGTACTTTATGCTCTGTAAATTGTCAAAAAAAAAAAGTAGATGTACTTGACAAAATCCCTCAAGCTTTGAGTGTAAGTGTAAGATTTAAATGTGTTTTTTACTAATGAGATTCCAAAATAAAAATACTTTGATTAAGTTCTGACAATAATTGCTGAGGGAAAGTTGCTGATGTTTCAGATAAGGAGACGTGGGACTTCAGTGTACACAAGTAGGTAAAGAGACTTGAAAAAGTGATGACATTCACTGTCTAAAAACCGAATTTGTGTACATAATACAGCAGTGAAATAATTATTTACACAAGTAATGAAGATGTGATTCCTTCTGCAACGCCCCTTCGCTTGTGTTCCCATGTCCCCCCCATACCCACCTGCTGCTGCGTGGGCGATGCTACTCGCCAGCTGCACCCCGTGTCTGGGGTCGCAGCACCACCGAACAAGGAGGCATGCAAACATGATGCAGCTCTTGCTCTCCAAAATTAGCAGGAGAGCCAATGAATCATCTTTCTTCCCTCCACCCCCAAGCTACAGGGATCCTCTGGAGAGATTTGTCAACAGCATCTGCAGACTTTTGTCCTGCAAACTTCTCCGTTGCTTTTTGCGGACATCATTAAAAAGGAATTCAGATCCTGAGAGCTCCCATCCCTCATGAAAACAAGAAGGCTGCTCCAAGCGGGAGCAGAAGGATCTCACCTTTCCTCTGACACCCTACTCAGCGGGAGCAATTCACTGCTGGGAGGTTGCTGACTTACGTTTGCAGGCATCAGGGGCGGAGAAGGGCTTTCGCAGGTCCCGGTAGAAGCCCGGCTTGCAGCGCTGGCAGTGCTGCCCTGCCGTGTTGTGCTGACAGTTGTCGCAGACGCCGCCGCTGCGGTTGCCCGATGCCAGCCAGGCATCCATGTCAAAGTGGCAGGTGTCAGCGTGCCCGTTACACTTGCACGCTGGGACGAAGCCAAAGGGAACAGCAAGGCTTGTTAAGGCAGTGAGGGAGGTTGGTTTGTGGAAGAGAGAGGCAAAAACCTGAACCAGGAACCTGTTGGAGTGCGGGTGGGACATGTTGCACACCCCGGCAACAGATGCTGCCGGTGGAAGTAAGGGCTGTGCTGCCACTGCCCTGGGGAACCGCAGTGAGGTGGGACTGCAGCCCAGCACCAGGAGGCCGTACCTCCCCAAAACGTGCCTGCCACAACGCTGGCTCCCTGTGGGCACCCACCCCACAAATGCATGGTGGCATGGGCTCTCCCCCTGCCCCTTCTCATCTGCTCTCTGGGAAACATGTAAGGAAGCACGGGAGGAAGCATTTGGCTCCTGCAGAAGCTCAGGGACGCTGCTCCCGGCCGGGCACTTACACTGGCACTCCCTGGGGGCTCCGGTTTTGCCGTCGGCAGCCTGCCAAGGGCGGTCGTTGTAGAGCGGGGCACAGAGCTGGCAGTGCTGGCCCTGCCGTGTTGTGCTTGCACATGCACTTCCCGTGGACCTGGGGGGAAACAGAGCGAGGTCAGATCACCCGCGGCAGTGCCCGGCGCGTCCCTGGGCACTGGGACAGGGCGAGCACAGAGCCTGTCCTGGCGCCCAGAGGCAGTTCTGCAGTTACACGTTCAGTCAGACTGGTACTTGTGGGTTTGCATGTCATCCTATCATGTAATCCTTTTTTCTTGTTGAGATCTAAAAGGATCACCAGCAGAGTTTCCAGCTGCAGTATGAATTTCCAGGAGAGATTAAAAGAAGCCAAGGTCCAAAGTGTCCTTGGGAAATACTGTCAAACCTTTCTCTTTTTCTCCCTCCCAGACAGTGAGACACCTATGCCATGCTGCAGCAGCAGCGCTCACCGTCTCAATGCCAAGTGCCAACACCAGCGAGCACAAGAAAAAAGAAATGAACCCCCCAGGAACATAGACACCTACTCGTCCTTGCGTTGCAAGGGAAGAACTGGAGACAGCACAAAGATGGTGAGGGACTATACTCAGATAACTACACGACAGACAGGGAACTGACCAGCTAGAGAGCACAGTGCAAGGGGGTAATTAGAGACGAAAAGCCAGCGTAGCAAGCCGGGTGCCAGCTGCCCGGTCAGCCGCTGGCATTCATCACGCTGCTGGCAAAGGCAAAGAAAACAGGATGCAGCCAGAGGGCAGGAGCCGGCAGCCCCCAGACGTGACGGCACGGAGCCTGGGGCAGTGCTCCCAGCCTGCTGAACCCCGACCTGCCCCCAGCAGAGGTTTGCTTCTCGGTGCAGTTTCACTCAGAGCCCCTCTGCTGCCCGGTGCCTCGCCACCCGCTGCCCCTTCCTTCACCACCCACGGGGAAAGCCATGGCCAAGGGAATGCAGCAAAGGGCTCCACTTCTCCTGCTGCTGCAGAACCCTAAGGGCAGAGCAGAGGACCTGGAGCACCCAGTGAACAACCCCTGCTCGCTGCGTAGGCGCACACGCATGCACGCCACACGTGCCCTTGGCTAATGATGACTTTGTGGCTGCTTTATTTTCATGAACAGATTTCAGCTCCCATTGCAGGGGGGTCAGAAATAACCAGTGCAGATAACACTCCAAAACTGGCCTTGAAAGTCCTTGAAAGACTTTTCAGCAGCAAGGCAAATAGTGAAACCTCCTGAAAACCTCTCAAGTGGTCCTTTCCTGCCTTATTAAAATATCTGGATCACTGAAGCGGGGACAAGTAAAATGCAGCACAGCTGACCAGACGGTGTAAGCAACGCACAGATACGGACAGAATTTGACAGAATGCAAAAGTGTCTGAGCTAAAGTGGCAAATGCTAAGATAACACTGCTTTCTGTGCTATTTTGGCCTCACTGCAGATATCCATTGGTCTGTCTGGCTTATGCAAGTGAGGTCACCTATATGCTTCAATGTGTGATAACGTGTGAAAAGAATGAGAAGCAAATAGAGAAAGGAAACAAAACTTATTTGCCGATGGAATATTTAACTCTCAAAGTGTGTCTCGTGCTTTCACATTTTCATTTTTGCTACCACTTCTGAACATCCTTCTTCAAACCCTCACTACCCTGAATTCTCCCCCCCCCAAAAAAAAACAAACCAAAACACAACACCTTCTCGCTCTTACACCTGCTTCAGGTAAAGCACAAACCAACATTACAAGCTACTTCACACACACTTCAAAAGCATCTAGCTGCATGGAAGCAGAAATCTGCTAAACCAGCATTGTCCTGTGGTTAGTGCTACCCCGGCCGTGGTAGCCTGAAGTACATCTGTGGCCAGACAAATCCTCACCAGCGTGCCCTGCTGCTTGGGCAGAGGCACCTACCAGAGCTGGGAGGTGCGTGGTGAGGAGGGGAAGGCTCCTGAGGCTGCCAGAGGTTGCTGCTGTCAAACTCAGGTGGTCCCTGGTGCTCTGGTGAGCGTGAGGCCAAAGCAAGAGAGGCATGGGAGAGAATGTGCAAATGTAAAAAATAATAATTAAAAAAAGACCAACAGTCTGTGGAGGGGTGCTTCATCCTGCCGCCGCGAGGGCAGTTTTATGGGCTCTGAGATGGTGCAAGCCGAGGCAGCCGGCCCTGAGAGAGCCAGCAGGGCCAAGCAGGGCGTGATGTGCCTTGTAACGATGGCTTGTAATGCACTTGGGGGAGGGAAATGAGTGGTATGGGTGAAAAGCTTGAAAAGTAACTGGAGAGACACTCAGGGCGAGCTGGGGGCTCGGTGAAGGACCCCGGGAGGTGCGGAGGGGAGGGGAGGGAAGCGGGCTCTCTAAGAACCTGTTTCTCACAGACACAGTTTAGTTAATACCTTTTTTCCCTATTCCTTTTTTTCCAGAAACGTAATGAAAGTCAGACCTAAGTACTTCAAAAACCTTGCCTCGGGCTGATGTATTTATTCTCTTTCAATAGCATTATAATGATTACCCCCAAAACAGCTCTGCTTTAAAACCCTCTCCATCCCAGCTTTATCCCATTGAAAAAAAATATCTCTTTTTTCTTCTACATAATTCCAGCATGACAGAAAAGGTTTTTATGCATCGGAAACAACAAAAGAGCTGCATATTAGCAAGCCTTTTCTTGTAACCCATGGGCAGACAGGTATTTTTTTGAGTTTTCAAGCAATGCTGTGATGGCTAAGGGCAAAAGAAAGGAGGAGAAGAGGCAGCAGAAGGAAAAGAGAAATGGCAGCAGGTGAAAAAAGGCCAAGAGGCTGTTTGCACCGGGTGAAAATTCAGGCTGGTAAGAGGTGTGTGAGCGCCTGATACCAGGTGAGGTGCCCTGAGCATCCCTGAGCCAGGGCTGAGAAAGCAGCCTGGCAGAGTGGTGCTGGCCTGGGGCACTTCTCTGGCATCTCAGCATCTCTCAGAAGGCAGGGTGTGAGCCACACGGGCTGACGGTGGAAAGAGCAGATTTTTCCCCCTTTTCACTCACCTCGATTTCCATGTAGCTGTAGGGCGTGCCCATTTGGGGTCATTACGGAGCACTGCTAAGTACACAAACACAATTCCCAGTGCGTCTCACCGCTCTAAGCATTCACACGGCTCTTGACTCATTTAAGCAGAAAATCCTTTTCATACCATTTTTCATTTTGTCATGGGGTCTTTACATCCCCGTTGGCTTTCACACTGCTTCCCTTCTTAGCCTGACAGCCCAGTCGCAGCGTCACTCATTAGAGGGCACAATGCAAACAGTGTTACAAAAGTTGACTTCTGTAAGATAAACGAGCGGCTGATTTCTATATACAAAGACAGTTGCTAGGGCATGCTTCCTTCCATAGCCTTTTGTTGCTGAATTATTACCTTCCAGCGCTTCCTTTCACACTGCAAACACACGGGCTTTTTGGTCGAATCTTATAAAACGCCTCCCCCCCTATTTATCGCCTTCCAAAATGTTGCACAGGGCGAAAGAGGTGCTGCGCTGAGGATAAAACACACCGAGTCACCTGTTATGGATCCATTCGCATCACGGGAACTCACGCCTTGCAGAGAGCCCAGCAGACACACACTAAAGACAAATTAACGTCCCAAAGGCCTGATTGTCTAAATAGGCTAAATAGCTGGGAGGGGCAACAGTTTTTAATAGACTTAAAAATGTATTGTAATTATCATTTTTTACTTTCTTGGAGAACGGGCACGATATTAGCCTAGAGGAAAACCGTGCCATTCACGCCAAGTCCCTAACAATGGCTTTTAAACCGTGTTGCACTCAAGCCACTGTGCCAGTTTTAGAAACTGCCTGCTGGCTGCTGCCCGCCCGCAGGAAGGTATTGTCTCCCAGAGCACCAGACAACCAAATTTATGCATGAGAAAATTCTCATATCCCATCTCGCTCTTGTGAAAGAATACAAAGTTTGTTGTTCAGGGTGTGGGGGCTGTCTTTTTTTTTTTTTTTTAATTTTATTATTATTCCTTGTACAATAGGCTTCTGTCAGAGGCTCTGGGGAAGACCTTCAGCATCTTTTGATGTCAGTAACATGACAACAATTTACAGCAGCCACTGGGCTGGCCACGTGGGAAGGGAGAGAGATATTCCCACTGCCCAGCTATGCAGCAGGGCTCTCGCAGCCTTGGACTACTAAAGAAGTGTCTAAGCACATTTGCAACAGTACCAGCTTGGTACGGTAGCAGCACCACACCAAACTTCTTTGGGCACTCCTTAAGAGTGTTGAAGCTTCTTCTTCCCTAGGTTGTCGTTTCCCATTTCCTCTCTTCAGATCAAAGATGCATACAGTATTGTGTAAAAGGGGTAAAAGCAGGTGGCTCCAGCAAGGGCACAGCCCTCTGAGACCGACAGCTCAGCCCAACCATGCGAACCACCTGGGTGCTGCAGGGCTTTGCAGTCAGGGAGGGCCAGGGAGTCTCTGAGGCAGATGAAGCCCTGCCCTCACCTTGAGACTGAACTGTGAAGCCCAGCTGAGGGACTTCTGCTCTTGGTTTCCACACTACAGAATGCTACACTGCAAGATCCTGCCTGTCTCCAAGCTGATCTCCTTTGCAACCCTTGCTGGAGTTGCAAGCAGGCCATTGGGATGCTTTAGCTGGTAAAGGGCCAAGGAGGCACTGAAATAACTCAGTGCACAGCTCCTGAGCTGGATGGATCAGCCCCAAACCCAGTCTTTCATTGGCCGCTGAACACTGGGGGGATCTCCTGTGTCTGTGAATCCATTTCTCTACTCGCACTGCTGTTTCACCATGCAATTGTGCTCACATGCTAATCCAACTACATTGCGTGGTACGGTGTGAGATGTGTTTGTTCATGCACTTTTTTTCTTGGCATGCATTGGGCAGATGTTGGCAAGGTTTGGGTAGTGACCCTTTGAATAAACGATGTGGGAGGAGTGAGAAAGAAAAGGCAGAGTAGCCTTGACGTGAAATAGTTTTTTTTTTCTTACAGCAACTGTCTGGAGTCTGTAATGCCCACTTTTTCTCTGACCTGACTCAGAGGGATCCCAGAGGAGCCTATCCTGCCCTGGTGGACAGAGCTGGACCTGCTTCTGCTGGGGTGAAACGAGCTGTTCTTCATCCACGGAGCCACCCTATTCGCATCCGCCCCCGCACCCAAGGATGTCCTAGGTCAGTATTATCTCATGGCCGAGCCAGACTTTTAGCCTCCCTTCAGCCATTCAGAACATTTTTTCTTCAGAACTGTCAGATTCCCAGCACACGATGGCCCAGCCACTGAGGAAAAATTCATACGATGGGAGGAATGCCGCAGCAGCGGGCCGGGACGAGGTCTCGAGCTGAGCGGGGCACCCTGGCCCTAAACTCACCCGGGCAGCAGCCAGCAGCATCCGCGCATCCCTGCATGGTTTTGTCAGACTCTATCACCCTCACTGCCGGGGCAGGTGGCCAAAATGCTTCAGGGTTCAGGAGACCTGGCAGCCATGCCTAGTGCTACCAGGATGCGGCGGCTTACAGCCCAGCAGAAACACAAATACACCTGCGTCCGGTTCTTCTGCTGGCCAAGCAGGCTCTGAAAACAAGCCTACAGATAGGATTTTGCCTCTAGGCTAAGAACAAGTGGCGGGTTGAGAAAACTTGCACACACTTTTTTGGGGAAAAGTTTCTTTTTTTTTTTTTTTTTTTGAGAAGAAGAGGAATCATAAACTCTCATGAAATTTGATGCTGTGTTTGTCTAATTTAGGGGATGTCCTTCAGGAGTGTTCTGAAGTACTAGCACAAGAACCGAGCCAGATTTTGTATTCACATCAGGAAACGGTAATGTGTTTCCCAGCTTTTGCTGTCCCTGGTTTTACAGTGAAGGTTCTGCTAAAACCCCACGTAGATACAGTTACATACAGAAGACATCTCATGCCTGAATGACTGACCATAATTCTTCAGAACTGTCACTTATGTGACTGGCTTTTTCAGGTGAAATGCACAAAAATGCTCCCGTCTCTGAAATCTTCCTCTCTTTTCAGAAATTTGACTTCTTCTAGCTAGGCAGCTGCGGATCCTGCAGTCTTTCTGCTCACACACATGCAGTGAACAAGTCTTGCTGCCAGTCTTGGACACGACACAACCCCCTGCTCCCACCTCAGAGCAACGTGCTGGCCAGCCCCTGGCACGGCTGAGGCTTGGCCTCAGGCTTCCTGGTCTTATGGTATAAAAAGAGGCAACGGGAGAGGAAACACCTCAGCACTCGAGGAGACACCTCAGCACACCCCGACCCTCCAGCAGAGCCCGTGTTGCAAAGCATGGGGCTAGGTCACCCTTAGGCTGCCCCGTGCCCCGTGGGCCATGCAGAGTAAGCTCTGAGGCACCGCAGAATGAGTCAGCCTGACTGCACACACGTCACTGTTGGGACTCTTGCCACATTTATAACTGGAGTTTACTTTCCCAGTCCCCTGGGGCTGGTGCAAGGGCTTGCTGCTATTTCTTGCTTTGTTTTTCAGCCCGATTCTGGCAGCGGCTCCTTCCCACAGCACCGCCTGCTACCTGTGCACGGTGATTTCCATGGGCTGTAGCTGTCCTGGAAGCGTATTTGGCTGCAGTCTCTGCTGTAACTCTCAGTGGTGCTCAGGGGCACACTCCCGTGCAATTGTATCACACTGAAATAATCCCAAGTAAACAGCTCCTTTCAAAGGCTTTCACTCAGGGAACATCTGGGAAAACCAGAGCAGCGCTACTTGAAACAGGCTTATCAATCATAGTGCTGCATGCTTTCAAATTTGTATATTTTCAAGATGTTGCAAGACTAGCTCTATTAGAAGGGAAACATGATGTCTGCTTCATGTTTGAGACCATAATTTAACTCAAATGAGAGTTCCCCGAAGAGCTGGAGAGATGCCAGACCTCCTTACCTCAAGTAATTGGCTTACATTTTTATGATCTTCCCCTTTTTCACATTGTTCAGTGCAATATATTTAATGGCCCTGGCTTTCCCTACAGCTCCTCTGCCAGCACAGCCAGTCCCTTTAGGGCTGGCCAAGAAGAGAAGAAAGGACACAGCGCATTGGGGTGTCCCCGGGCTGGCAGGACACAGGCACGCCGCTGCTCGGGGAGGCACTGGCATTGGCCTGCCACGTCTGGGCTTTGTGTCTTGGTCGGTCCCAAGGGATTTTCAGCTCTGAGCTCCTGTGATGGGAGTCCCCTGGAAACCAGATAATAGGGTTTTTACCCAGAGGTGGTATTGCAAAGTGCAATGGAAAGCCTGGGAATGAGAGCCAGCCCTCCCGCCCCTCAGCTCAGGACCCAACCCTGTCTCTGAGGATGCTCCAGAAGCAACGGCAAGCACAAGGGTCCTGCTGCCATCGGGGAAGCTCTGCTCCCCCTCGGTCATCAAAATGCCCTTCATTTATTGTATCAGATATTGTGCTATCACTAGTTAGCATCCAGGCTGAGAAGGGAGCCAGAAACATTAACATTTTAAGGAGCCACCGCCGAGCGCGTGTACGTACCACTTGGAAAACACCAGCCGCCTTGACGGGCCGGAACCCGCTGACGGGGACGCAGCGGTCGGCGTGGCCATTGCAGAAGCAGCTGCCCTTCACGATGAAGTCGTAGACGGCGTAGTGTGGGGCCGGTGGGGCCTGCGGGGCTGGCAGGAGGCAGGGGCAGCTCTGCCGCTCCAGCAGCCGCACGCGCAGGTTGGTCACCTTCAGCTGCGCCTGGGCTTCCGCGCTGTAGGGATCCTGGGCAGCGAGGGGCGGCGAGAGGGCTCGGTATATCACCTGCACAGAAAGGAGGTGTCAGCGGTGTGGGACCATCTCTGGGACACGTGTCCCTGTCCCCCTCATGTCTCTAGGTGCACCCAGTCTGGTCCCTGCGGTGTCACCAACTTAAATTTGGCCATTAACACACCGCGGCTGACCGGCAGCCCTGTGGGTGGTCATCGGGCGGGGGAGTCCTCACCGACATCTCTCCTTCCCTCCCCGCTTATTTTTTAACAAATAAAGCTTGGATTTCCAAATATTTGGCTCCTGTCAGTCCCGGGCCGCTTCCTAGTGGAGAAGTGACTCGGTGTGGCAATTAGTGACAGCGAGCTGATAGTCGAGGAAACCGAGATAAGAAAGAATGAAAAGTTGGGAGCTCCAGAGGCTTAAACAAATACTTATCAGTCAGTCTTTAGTTTAACTTCGGTCTGATTGAATAGGTAAATATTGTCTCAAACTGAAAATCAAGAGCACTAGATAAAAATAACTAATTTTCGTTAAGAGGTTTATTTTAAACTTGTTGGGCCGGCTGCCTGCAGTGTGACACAGAACCAGCGTGGGACCCGCGCAGCTGTCATTCACATGAAATGACACGTTTATGACACATGTATTAGTCACCAGAACTTCTAATTTATGGTTTGCGCTTTTTAAATGGTTAAATACCCCTCCGCTGACTAGCTCCTGAAGGCGTGATGAATCACAATATTTGCCAGCACCAGTTAAATGAGGCTCTTGGCAATGGTTTGTGTGACACAGCCTCGTGGGTTGAGGCTCTGCTTCCAGCAGCGGCTTGAATCCACCTGAAAGGCTGGGTAGCGGTGCCCCTTGTGCGGCAGCAATGAGCCTGATGAAGGGGCACTACCGAATAGCAACACATTTCACAAGCTGTCTTCTTTCCTCTCTTTCAGAAGCATAGGCATTTTTCCTGCTTTCCTAAAATACATATGGAGCCAGTATGAACAGAAACCCAGATGAACCAAGCGATCAGGCTCTGTGCCTCTCCCCAGGGCAAGTTATTTACCCAAACTACATCAGTGTCCTTCTGATCGCATTTGCTCACTAGTGGCTTTGTGAACACAAGATGTTTTCAAGCATGGAAAGAAAATTCCCTGGAAAACATCCACACTGGAGACATTTATGCCTTTTTAGTGGAGACGATGGAAAATGCCTGGCTGAGAATTTTCTGTAAAATCTAGCATTTTGGGTTCCTAGCATAAATTGCATCTCAGAGAAGTCTTTGTTTGTCCTGACTCAGATGGGAGTGGTGAAGGAAATACAAAAACGGGAACAATTTATGCTATATGCAGCTACAGACTTTCTTCTGATTATTTTCAGTTTAACTTGTTTATCAACCCCATTTTAATGCATGTGACTGATGCTTGTAACCCCAGTAAAGGCAATGCAGAGAGAAATCAATAACCCTGAGCGCCTTCGCGCTGAGGAAGTTAAATCATGCTGGTGAGGAATTCAGGGGGAGTCACACCACTGATCTCCATGAAGCCAGTATTTCAGCTCAGGCCCTAAATTGTTACAAACATGTCTTTTTATGGCTGCTTGAAAACAGTGATGCTAAACATGAGCCCTATCTGCAGTCCCCAGGGGCTGCAAAGAGCAGTCTCCCAGCTGCTGCCCCGCACCGCTCCAGCCGGGCTCCAGCGAGCAGCACAGGACAGTGGGGGAGCCTGGCCTCAACCCTGCCACTGCAGTAAACACCCCCACCCAATGCCAGTGGGTCTGTTTTAATAAGATACAAAACGGTCATTATAACATGTAAGTCGCCACACAAATTGCAATTCTCTGCTCTGTCCCAGCAGATTGAGCTGCAGCCCCTAGAGGCTGCACAATAAGGTCAAGGACGTGTTTCCCAGCAGGATTTCCCTGGTCAGCTGTTAACCCTGCGGATTCACCCCAGCCCGTCTCTGGAGCAATCCCAGCACATCACTGGGGTGACACCACCCCCGTGGGGGCTGCACATGGGGGCTGGCTGCTGCCTGGCCGGGGTGTCTCTGCCTTCAAAGCCACTGTGCCTGCTACTCTTTGTATCACAAAAACACTGTAAGGAGTCGTGCCCGAGGCTCCTGCCAAAGAGAGCTTTGTCGTGATTACACAAAGATGCATAGCTCATGAAGGTGCAGAACAACATCCTTTTTGATAAATGAAGCCATTTCTGTTCTCACAGTGCAAGGCCCCTGCCTTGGAGGGATGGAGAGTGCTCCACCATGCACAGGGAAATGCACCTGCTCAGCAAAGGGAGCAATGGCACCAAAATCTAGTTTTCTGCACACAATGAGCCTCACCAGGAAGCACCCCACGGTGAGCAGAGCTCTGGCTTGCTGGCCTCCATGTAAGTGCTTTACTGACAATATGCCAAAAATTAGTGTTATGATGTGAGGTAGATGGTGTGATTCCTCCCACATGACAGTCAGCACCGCACATGATAGTGAAAGGTGGGAGGATTGGATCTCTACATCAGCAGCTGTTTGGTGTGTGCATTACAACTAATTTCTATTTTGTAGAAAAAGTAGGAAGTGATAACTTGAAAACTCACAGCACTTCTATGCTGCACATGCCATAATACATCCTATCAGAAAGGCATTTTCATCCCATTGCTGTGAGCTCACTGTAAATCTTTTGATGTTTGGGATTCTTCTTAAGCACATTCCCAAGAACCAAATCTTTGTCTCAGTTTCCATTTAAAAATAAGTATCTAGCAATAGGTTGTATCTGAGAAGCAAATGTCACTAGCTAGGAGGGAAACAAAATGAATATCTGTCTTCGAAACAAAATACCAAGTGATTTTCAGGGTAATGTTCCTTTGAAGCCACGTGGAATTGTGCTGTTGTCTCCCATGTCCATAAATGTGATGTTTGCAAGAAGCAATGTCAATAGAGATGTGATTTAAGACTTGCACAAGGATATCTGTGTGTGGGGATAAGTGTCTCTGCACAGCCAGATAGGGTGCTGAGGAATCCTCATCCCCAGGAAAAATGTCCAAGGAAAAGGCAATGCTTTAAATAAAAAATGGAAATGCAGACTGAAATCCCTGCATTAGGCCATGACCCTGTGATGTGTCCCGATGCCAGACACCACAGCGTGGTGCCCGGAGCCTGCTGCCAGCCCTGGCCAGGCGCTGCTCCTCTCCCCACGTCCTGGGGGTCGCATCCCAGCCAGCCCCACAGCGGTGCTTGGCTCCCAGTGGGATGGCCAGGGCTGTATGGGATGGCTGAGAGCACCCCATGCATGCTGTGGGATGGAAATGTGCTGCTCTTCAGCCAGGCTGCCTGCGGTTTGGGCACACAGAAACATTGACACCCCCTAATTAATTTTCACAGCATTTCAATTTCCTCACGGGAAGCTCTGTCATGAGCAGCTCTTGATCTGCTGATTATTTCACGTTTTTTTTGCTCGAGTGGCGCAAGAAGGCTTAGCTACTTTCCATTCCCCAGATGCAAAAATGTAGCCCTGAATATAAATAAAACGGTGGCTGCGAGCATGCTGCACTCAAGTAACCGCTTGCACCACAATGACCTTGATTTATAAATACATAAAAGTCCCTTTGCAAGAAGTACCCTACTATGTTTACACTCGAAAGGCAATGAAAGGGCATCTTTATATATATCTCCACAGTGGGAAGGAAAATGCTAATGAATGATGCTGAGAACAACAAAATAGGCTCTGAAGTCACAGAGACCCAAGGAAGTCAACAAAACCAGGGCAAAGCCAGCCACATGAGTCACGGGCACATCCCAGGCCACCAGAGCCTCCACCCGCCACAGGCCTTTGTTGAGATGCACGGGGCTGCAGCGATAAAGGGGGCTCTTCGGGTCAGAAAAACCCCTGAGGTTTAAGAGACACCTACAGGAGAAACAGGCACCTGTGGAGGCAGGGTGCAGGGACACACAGCTCTGCGTGCACGCCCCGTGCCTGTGCTCTGCGCTTCCCAAAGGCCTCGACCCAAAGGCATCACCCCGAGCCTGGAAGGCATCAGGAGATGGTTTGCAAACAGCAATAAACAGCAGCAGCAAATAACGCAGAACGGGTAAGTGGATGGGGGAGTCAACGAGCATGGAAACAAGCCAACAAACAAGTAAAACAGCAGAAATAAAAGCAATTAACAAACATTACAAACATCACCATGCTGTTATTAGGTTGTAAAAGCCAAAGCAGTGACACTGCATGAAGTGGTCTGTGGTTTCTTTCCAACACTTTTCTTCAAGGCTGAAGAAATTTGCCTTAATGTCCAGTCCAAACCTCCCCTGCCACGACCTGAGACATTTGCCACGTTCCTTCCGTGGCTGTTCCCAGAGGCGAGGGCTGTGTCTGCAGAGCAGTAGGAGCCTTCCTGTATCTTTTAGGTTAGCTTCCTACTGAAATAGGCTTTGTGCCATTACTCCGTGTGTGTAGCTATGCAGCTGCTTATCAGTGCCCTCTTAAAAATGATGAAACTACCAGCTAACTTCAATCATATCTGACAGATATCTTAAAAGCAGTAAGTTCTTAAAAGGTTTACAGAAACAGTCTTGGTCCTTCACAGAATCAGACCTGGTGGACTCCTCTCCCTGGGAAGGCCATTACGAGCCCAATGCTGGTACCCTCAATTATTTGATGTATTACCCCCACAACAAGCAAAAGAGCTAGTAGGAAAGAAACCCACACATATCTGTGCTGTGCTCATTGCAATGACCTGAGGCTAAAAAAAGACTCTTTGCAGGTGCTGTAAATAATTCACATGATGTGGGAAGTTCATCAGCCTAAACCAGGCAGGTGGCACCCACCAGCTCCTCCAGCACACAGCTTTGCTTTTCTGCCTGTGGGACCACGCGGCCTGCAGGGAGAAGGAGCCTCTCTGGCCACCCCCTGCACAAGCACAGCATCACCTGGGTGAGACCAAACAGTCAGAGAAACTGGGGGACCTGCCACAGCGTGAAGCACTCTGTCCACATCCCCAAGAGATGGCCACACCACCCTGCCACGTGCCACCAACAGCAGTCCACTGAGCTCCTAGAGATGCTGGAGAAACGGCACTCCTGCAGTTATGGACATCTCATACATGTTGACAAAGAGGAACATGTGGCCTGTGCCTACAGCCCTTCTGCAATCTTTTGCAGCACATAAAACGAGGCAAATAACCCCTTGTCTCACCATCCAAGAGTTACACAATCTTACAGAGACTTCTAAAAGAAAACCCAGCTATTTCAAATAACTGTCTCCTGTGAGAGCCTTGACAAGTTAATTTATACCAGTGCAATGTTTGTCTTTTGGGAAACTCAAGGCATTGCCCTGCCATTCTCAAAAGTGAGAAGCTGTGCGGGAAAAGCTCCTACTCCTACGTGGCAACCTACACGGTGAGGGGCTGAAAAAGGCACAGGGAGAACTGGGCAAGAGCCCCAGTGTTCCTCCAGCATCCTTTACATCTCTGGCAACCATCAGTCAGGCAAGGGCCATCTTAGCTTCCACTCAAGATCCTGGTGCACAGTTTTATCAGATGAAAAGCAAAGCCTGTGAGGTCGCGCCTGTCTTCATTCAGGTGATGATCACAGAAGTAATGTTTGGGTATGGAAGAGCAAGAAAACCTGGAGCTACATCCAAGGAGGCAGAGAAAGAACTGGATGTGCTCGTCCAGCTGGCTGGCTCCCTGGGGCGGCAGGACAGCCCTCACAGCCTCTGCTGCAAAAGCCTGCAAGGCAGCAGGTTAGCCTGGAGAAATGAATGCCTGCAACAGTGCTGGGGATCCAGAGGATTGCTTCCAGCCTAAGTGTAACTTGATTTCATGAATATTTTTAAACTCCTTTTGTCTATAAAGAAAAGGCTTTGTGTCTGCAGAGCTGGCTGCTTATTATTGCAGTGGAAGCCATTCAGCGCCCAGGAGCTATAGTTAATTTGGGGAAGAAGAACATCTGTCTGAATTGTATGCAAATATGCACAGTCAGAAAGGCCGTGAGAAACAGCATCCCCCTTTCAACCTACACTACAGATTTTGACAATGGCAACGGGACATGGGGGATGCAGCGCAGAGACTGGTTATAGAGAGGAGAGCCATGGCTTGCATCTCTGGTAAGTTTGCTTTGGATGTAAACTTATTTTCTTCCTGGAAATGTTGCCCAGGCAGAATTTGAGGTCTTTGACACTTGTGTGGGATGTTGAATGCCGGTAAATGCTGGAAACCTCATGCCAGTACCTGTTGTGCACGTCGATTTATCTCAGATTAAGTCCCCATCAGCTTTTGATCCAAGACTTGTGGGATGTGGCGATTCACTGCTTCAGGTTACACACCTCTCACGTGGCCATTTGTGTCCAGGAAGCCCAAAGAGAAACATGTCAGCCACACTTTACAGCCAGCTAGCTGGGAGCTGAACAAGTGATCCAGTCTTCCCTTCATGCCAGCAAGGAGCAGTGAAGCGAAGCAGTGGGCTGCAGTGCAAGAAGAGAGGCTCCAGCTTCACGGCTAAAATCCTGCAGCCCTTTTCTCAAGGGAAGCAATAACCCTGCTAACAAGGCCAGATGCCAATTCAGAGAATTAAATTCTCCCTACCCAAATTCCTCTGGTTTCACGTGGGTATGGTGCTCTTTACTTCCTACATGAGAACCTAAGTTTGGAAAGGGTCTCCTGGAGCCCTGGAGCCCACTCCTCCTCTTGCTGGCAGCTGACAATATACAATATATCCCCTTTCACAGACTGGTCAAGCTCCCTCCTAGGAATAATTTGTTTTAGCCATAACTGGAGGCCGATCTTGAAGCCCTGATCTGCAGTAGTTAGAAACTTGCTGTTTTAAACAGGGGACTGCCGGCACGCACTATTAAACACTGGCTATGCTCCATCCCAGAGGTGGCTGCATTTCAATAGCTGGCCAAGCCTGAGGGCCAAACTCCAAGTGCCAAAAACCCTGGGACAGCCAGGGAGAAAAGGAGACAATGAGGCCTTCCTGTGGGCAGGCTGCAAAGGGGGAATCAAGCGGAGGATCGCTGGGCAGGTGGGACAAGCTTCTTGCCCTGGTCCCTGGTCCACCAGCAGTGCTGAGCTCCCCAAGAGGCCCAGCAAAGGGACACATCTCTGTGCCGGGACAGCTGCAGTCCACAATAGTCCCAGCCTGGCCCAGAGACCTGGCAGGATCATCCCTGGTCCTCCACGTGTGGAAAACTTTATAAGCAGGTGTTGGTGCCCAGAAAACCGTTCTGTCACTCACTCCTGGTGATGCCCAAGCCCTTGAGGGCAGGTGCCTTTCGTGGTAAAATTCCCAGGGTACCAAAGGTTCATCTCAGCATGTTCTTGGAGCTGTCCTTGTACTGTGTTCTCTTGGACACAAGTGAAAATAAAACTGAGGTTTCCCATTTTTACCTGAATCTACCTTGCATTGAACTATCAGCCACCAAAGCCTGGGATTTTTAGGTTCCTACATCATATCATTGACTCTGACCTGACTTCATTTACTTTGTGTCATTTATATTTTCCCTAGAAATCCTCATTTTTGTACTTATGAAATAAGGACCCCTGTATTTCACAAAATTCATGGACACAATGCAAGTGCAAAGAGCTGTGCTGCATCTGGCCATCACCCCCATCACTCCCCGGGTAAACAGGCTGTCCTTCACACGCAGCACTTTTGTACAGAGCCCAGTAAGGAGCATTTTCCAGAGGATAAAATGATCAGGAAGATGCTGTTTAAAAGGTTTATTATTATTATTATTATTATTTGTATTATTTCCTTCAAAATGTACTTCTACAACTTGTAGAGATGGGACAAGGTATGAAAATGTAATTCTGCAACTATGCCCTCACCTGTCCCATGCACTACTGAACAGGACCAGCCAGGACCAGAGCAATGTATATTTACCTTCAGTTAATAATGCCAATCATAAGTTTAAAACCAAGCTTATTTAGGCCTAAAAGGCAAAAAAAATGGGCAAAAGCTCCTGGGCTGCAGCAGATTGTTCCTACAACCCCAACATTAGGGTACCAAAATAAAAGCCACCAAGTATCTTTAACTCCTGTTTGTGTTACCAAGTGTTAACACTGCTCGCTGTCTGTCAGGGCCAAACTTGTGAGGAGCAGGACAAAACTTAAGTTTTGCTGTGCAGAGTTAATTTCAGGTAGAACCAGTAGGGCTGGTGTGCAAATCGTTCGGGAAGGGAGGCAGGCTGCATGCAGTAACAGTGCAAGGCGAGGCACTGCAAGGTTTCTCTGCTACAGAAAGCACATGAGATCAATAAAATGCTCAGTAAGACACACACATGCACGCCCCACAGTAAAAGAGTGGTATGAGATGTTTCAAATGTCAGCAGCGTGTTAGAGTTTGTTGCTGGAAAACAGTCAAGCTGCAAATACGCCTCTCCTATTAATAGCAAATAGCAACAATGGCTAAGTCTCAAAGTGATTTATTAGCAGTATTCTGAATAGATGAACACTCAAATAAGTTACTAATTTACTAAAATCTTGTCAAGGAGACTCTGCTTCAGTAGGTCCTTTTATCCCGGAGCTTGTCTAAATGGGGACACTCAGGCGAGCTAATCTGAATTGACCACAGATGGGAATTTAAAGTGAATGAGATAATTGCATTGCAGAGTGGACAGTCACCCTCATGCACAGTTACAGAACCAACATCTGCTAAGGGCCCCTTCTAGATGAGCCTTTAACACTGGATCCCTAGTCCAGGAGAGTTTTAAGATTAGCCTGTACAGGAAGAAACATTAATATGAGCCAAAATATGGGAGGGAAGATGGCCTTTTACACGTGCTAATAAAAACTGGCATTCCTGTCTGAGCACAACACTGAAAGAGTTTATTTCTGCATCTTGTTTACAGTAGATCAGATTATATTTGGCTGGTGAATCAGTTTTGATTTCCCTTGCAGTAATGTGGCCGAAGAGTTACACCCCAGAAAACCACAAAAATACCCTGGGTTTGTGGCACATTTGTAAGATCCAGGCTAAAACTCGGTCCTAGCCTTTCTCTTAAAACACTGATAATGTAAGGCCGGCACTCAGAGGTTCCTGCCTAGGTTAAACGAACCACTGCTGAGAGACAATTCACTAAATTGAGCATGGGGAGAGTCTTCAGTGACCTCTCCGCATGCAGCTGATCCAAAATTATTCCCTGACAGGGAAGGGGTTTGTTTTCCCTTTCACAGTGGTGCAAGCCTGGCCCCTCTGCCTGGCAGGTGCCTGAGGCTTGCTGGAAAGCCGGGCTGGCTGTGGTGGGGTTTCCTCCTCCTTCCTGCCCATGCGGGAAGGGGACAGCCTGGCCGTACGTGCGGAACCACAGGAGCTCTGAGCACACGCTTACCTGGAAGCACGTGCTTAATGCCACTGACAAAACCTTTAAGACCCAAAACCAGGGGCATCGGGTTCCTGAAAGGAACTGCCAAGTCCTTGGAGGGCAGAAAAAATGCAGAAGGTCTGAGTTTTCTTTCCTTAAAGAAGCACACAGTAAAAAATGAAGCAGACACACCTTTGCTCCAAATTAACACATAGGACTTGCTAAAAAGAGGCCACGACCCACTGAGTACAACGAGCTTCTGCCTCTGCTGCCCTGAAATGGGGCTTGCAGGCACCAGAAGTGTGGATCATAGAACCATAAAGGTTGGAAGAGACCTCCAAGATCATCTGGTCACCCTACCACCAGTGTCACCCACCAAACCATGTCCCTAAGCACCACGTCCAACCTTTCCTCGGACTCCCCCAGGGACAGTGACACCACCACCTCCCTGGGCTGCCTGCACCTTGCAGACAGTGAAAAGCAGGGACCACCAGCCCAGGTCTGCTGAACTCTGATGATCTTTAGGGGTGAGCAGCCACCTCCTGAGACCACCCCGAGCTTTGCAAATTACTCATCCCAAGGGATGGGCAGCAGTTCACTGAGCTGCCAGCAGCAAGCAGAAACCCCTCCGTCCCGCAAAACACTGCCAGATCCTGCAGGCCCTGACTCCGTGCCTGGAAATGCACATGTGGTGTTGATATGTTTGAAGTGGGAGAAAGTGGTATATAGATGGTGTGATACGCAGTCTGGATCATGGGTTGTAGCTGTTACATGGCACTAAAAAGCTATCGAAAGTTTAAAAAGAAATCCAGTAGCACTTATGGAATTTATGTTTGTGCTTTAAAGAAAACTGTGGAAACTGAGCTGCAATTAAATAATACCCTTGGACATTTCAGATGACTGCATCTTTAAAACCACTGTTTCAAGTGAAATTACTGTTTCCATATGTCTGGAATTAGGTCCAGCCAGAAGTGGGAGTAAAGCACTGCATAACTCCGAACAGAACACAAAACTCCGATGTTTCTTTAGGTGAGATACATGTTGCTATTGGCAGTTAGGAGTAATTGCTGGAATGTAGCACACTGTAATAAATTAAATGCGATATTTGCTAAGCATGCACGCTTGCCATCTGGTCACCAGAAAGTTGCTGTTATTACTTTGCAGGTAAACAGAAGTGGTTTTTAAGTGCAGGGAACTGAAGTGTGCCATGTAAATAAAATCTTATAAGCTCCAGCCTCTTGGACTCAACTTTTGTTTAAGCCCTGGAATAATTAAATGATCTTGACTTTTACAGCTTCTCTGCAATAACACAAACTAAGGCAATGCCAGAAGAAGGGATCCTGCAGGAGCAAGCTCGGTACACAGCCTGTTTTGCAGCAGGCTACCGCAGACGCATCAAACAGTACCAGATTTCTGTCTTTCTTGAAACAGGCACTGGTTTCGACATACAAGAGCCTCAGTCCTGCTGTGCCCTCACACTGCACCGACCTGCAGAGGGATTGGCAAGGCCAGGATTTGCACAGGTTGTTGCCAGACACAGCCCTCATTCTGGGTGCTGACACATTAACTTCTATGGGAAGATGGAGGGAGAAGAAGAGAAGAGATCACTTTCTCTTGTGGATCCCTTCCAACTCAGCATATTCTATGATTTTATGTTTCTCTTGCACACCAAGTGAGTGTGTGCTACTGCCCTTTGCTAGTCGAATGGAACAACAGTGGGCCAGTCTGGCATGTCCAGAGATCTTTGTTTCTAAGCTGACAAGAGCATTACCCAGCTTCTCCTAGAGCAGGATGTTGGCTGCATCCTGAGATGCAGCTGAGATGCAACTTGGTGAGCAGCTCCCTGCGTTTCTGCAGAGAGGGGCTCTGAGCATGGCGAAGGTGACCCTAAAAGATGGGGGTAGGGTGGGAAGCCATGAATGGGGGATTCTTCTGAGATGTGGATGCTGGTCTGCAAGGACAGGACCTTCGCCTCAAAACATGTTATCAGTGGAAAAATGCAATGACAGCATTTATCAGTGGAAAACCGGCACCCTGATTCATGAATCAGGTTTGCTCCTCTCTCTGCATGCATCGGAGTGAGGTTTTCCTTCGCCGTTCAGCCCAGCCCGTGGGATGAGGCCACTAGAGGGAGCAGCCTGGCGGCCAGCGATGGTCCCGAGGGACCCCTGCCCGGGTGGGGACCCCATGGAGCAGTGGCCAGGCTGGGTGACCAGTGTGACATTGCCAGTAATTCCCATCAGGATGGGGAAGGGTTCTGCTTGTAGCACCTCCAGATGCACCATTTACTAGCTGTAGTCTCTGCTACTGAAAATATCTTGTTTTTCATGTGTATTTTTTTCTCTTATATTTTTTTTCCCACATTATTTCCACACGGGAGTAAGCGTGAAGCTGGTGAACTCCCACGTCCTTGGACCTTCTCAGTCCCCAAGCTCCCACCATCTCCATGCTCATTCACCAGGTGAGGGATGAGCAGCTTTGGGGGAAAAACAGCGGGACTAGGAGCCCAGAGAGGCGAGGCACAGGAGGATGCCTACATTACCTGGAACACACCTTGTGAAATAAATGGGGTTAAAGGGGAGCCCAGTGCAGCAAAATGAGCAACACAAGCCCCAAACGGAGCAGAGGGCTGTCCCGGCAGACTCACCTCTCCTCCGGTGCAGGGGAAGGGGCTGGAGTATCTGGAGGTGCAGAGGGCTCCCTTCCTCGCCACGTCGTCCTCCAGCCCGAAGGCTGCGGAGCAGTTGGCAGCAAAATACTTGTAGGGCTTCCAGGTCTTGCCGAAGTCCTGCGAGCGCTCCAGCACCATGGCCGCTGGCCGGGGCGACTTGAAGACCAGGATCAGGTGCGTGAAGTAGAAGGCGGCCTCCAGGTCCAGCCGGATGGTCTCCTGCGGGGTGTCCCCGGCCGCCTGCCACCACGTGCGGGGCCGGCGGAAGGGGGAGTCGGCCATGGCGGCGGGGGGATGCGCCAGCCCCGCGTGGGCCCCGCTGCAGCGGCCGCAGGCGGGGGGCTGGCAGCGGAGCGCGGTGTCCTCGGTGTAGGCGCAGAAGGACTCGGCGGCGTGGCGCCCGCAGGCCGTCTCCGTCCGCAGTGCCCGCCCGTGTGCCAGGTTGCCCATCCGGGGGTTGCAGGCCTTCTCGCAAGGGCTGCCCGCCCCGGCTGCACTGCCCAGGCCTGGAAGGAAAATGAAGTGACTGCGGGATGTGTTTTGGGCCCTGCCACACACCCCGAGGCTGTGCCGCGCTCAACCACCCGCCACCCGAGCACAGCTACGTGCCTGGTGCCCATCAACCCATCAAGGAGATGCACCGCCACATGGCGCTCTCCTTGCAGCTTAGCACGTCTAAAACAGCAAAACAAAGCAAAAAAAATAAAATAAAAAAATGCAACCCCACCCTCAGGGCTTCCCTGTGCTTGGGAAAATCCCAAGCAAGAGTTGTAAAGGGATGAGAAGGGAGAGAGGGCGGGAGGAGGGACGCCTGCACCTCGCCCTCCTGTCTCAGGCAGCTGGGCAGGGCAGGGAGGAGGCCCCCAGGGACTGCGGCCACCCATCCCCGAGGCCCTGGAGGGGACCCAGGCAGTGCTGGGGATGGGAGCAAGGCAGAAGAAAGGTGACGTGCTTCTGCCGCATGTGTAGTGCCCCATCTCACCATGGCATATTGGGTGTGGGGGCACGGGAGCTGCTGCGAGCATCTCCTTCAAACGGTGACCCCAAACTCTCACCCCCATTTCCCTCCCCTCCTTTCCAATCCCAGATCTCCCCACAGTCCCAATCTGCAGCACAGGTTGAATCGACACGCTGCTGAAGTTTGGGAAGCCTGTCACCGATGTGTGTAAAGCAGGGCTGGGGGGGGAGGAATAAATCCTTGGCTGAAATGACGCTGGCAAGCTGCCTCGCAGCTGAGTCTCTGCGGGCTGTGTTCAGGTTTCTCTTGTCGGTTTAAAGATCACAGTAAGAGTGTTGAAGGAAAACAAAATCACTGTGGGGTTCGGAGTGAAACCCTCCGCACAGCAACCCTCCTGGTTCGGGAACGCGTGATGAGGGGCTTTCTCCTCTTCGTTAATAAATGTAGCAGGAGGCCAAGGCTGTATTTTATGAACCACGACTGTTTAATATAATAATAAAAAAGAAGAAGCTCTGATGACTTGGATGCAGGCAGGCCAAAATATCCGAAGTGCATAATGTCTTCTTTATCACTGGGCCAATCGTACATAATCAGCTTTGTGCACCAATTACTATGGCTTCTTCTTGGCATTTTTGTTATGTCCAAAGGTCATTTCAGTTTAGCATCCAATAAATCCTTTATTTGGGCTTTATTCAGCCTTTGTCTACAGTGTCATAGTTGCAATTAAGCTATATTATCCACTAGCAGAGACTAAGCCTCTGAAGAGCCTGACAAATTTCCCCACTCCTGCTCTTTAAGGAGAAACACCCTGGAAACAACACATTTTTACCACCATCAATCTATGCAGGTTTTCTGTGCTGGTTATTCGGAACAGATGTGGACCGCTGCTTGTTATGCACCCATCACAAAGCACTTCTCATTCCAGTCTCTGGACTTCACCAGGTAAAAAGTTTCGGGAAGTTTTTAGTGAGCTGAACAGGCTCGGTGAAGTCAGCTTCCTACAGAGACAGAAGCACTACGTGTAGAAGTGTATCTGAGATGATCTGTATTAACTGTGCAGCACACATCTGCTCCAGAAAAGTACACAAAGCTAACTGTAAAATTCACACAATGTCCCTTACATCTCCTGAAGACACTTTTCAAAGCCTCGTGTAAACACTAACTAACCTACACGGCTCTCCGGAGGGAGAGGCAAGTGTGTGCTATTATCATGTTATCAGGCTTGCCGCAAGTTGGCCTAATTTATGTGTTTGGCTGCTTTCCTAGATTCTTTGGCTACACGTAGCACAGCGCAGCTAGCCGCTAAACAACTAGGTGAGCTTTCGCTGCGGTTCCCTGAGCTGTGGGACCGTAAGGTGGGCTCGGGAAGAGGCAAACACAGCGGGGCTCAGCCAGCACCCTGAACTGGGACCAGGTTATTGCTTGTGTTTGAAACCTTTTGGTTTCTTTGCACAGCAACAATTGCTGTCCCAGGGAGGCAGTAGGGAGGGTCCCTGGGGCCCCCGGTGGTGCCAGGGCTCGGGGTGGCTGTCCCTGGGGTGGCTGTCCCGGGGGCGGCTGTCCCTGGGGCAGGGGCAATGCTGTGCCAGGGGGGCTGGCTACTGAATTCCGATGCAAGACACTGGGAGCTGAAGGTACTCGACTGCCCCCAGCAGCATTCAGCTCCTCATACCCTCCGGCCCCGGTCACTGACTGCAGCTGGTCCCTTCCTAACCTGCAGCCAGACTTGGGGCCAGGGACCTCAGCTTCAGCAAGATTTAGGAAAGCTGCCAGCATGCAGACCCTGCTGCTCATCACCGGGGCAGGAAGGGGGGAAAGGAAACCCCCTGTAAAGGGTGTTTGTTTGCACTTGAGTTAGAGTCGCGTGACGGAGGCAGAGCACCGCATGCTATGCAAAGTGACAGCTTTCCAGTTTAGTGCCGCATGCGAGAGGAATTCGGCAGAAAGACAGATGAGAGCGTAAAGGTTTCCACGCCGTGAGCCACGAGCTCATGACTGCCGTGCCACAGCCCCGGAGCGGTGCTTTGCCTTACTTGCACTAAAAGCATCTGCCCAGCTAAATGCCCCGTTCCCTGTCCCGTGCGTGCTGCTGCCCTGGGACCTTCCGTAATGAGCAAGAGCACGCAGCGAATACCATGACTCACCTGTAAAACATCCACGGAAAATCATATGCTTCCTGCTAAAGCATTTTAGCAACCCTCGCCTGGTGATGTTCCACTTGCGCCCCGTGCCCGACCAAGCCCCCTCTCCCCAGCCGGGTTTCTCCTTCTTGCTACGGGGTCCTGGCGCTCGGCTCGCCGACACCCCGGGGATCGCAGCACAAACCTGATCACCCCCCCGAGCAGCAGGGGATCCTGCCAGGCGGACACCCCTTTCCCCCGGGGTCCCTCTCCCCTCTCCCCACTCCCCCCCTTTTCCCACGGGGCTTTCCCGGGGGGTCGCGACCCACCTGCAGCAGCGGCGCCCGGCGCCAGCAGCGCCAGCAGGACCAGCAGCGGCACCGGCAGCGCGGCCAGCAGCAGCAGCAGCAGCCGCCGCGTCCCGAGCCCCATGGCCGAGCCCCCGGCCGCGGCGCCGCCGCCCCGCCGCCCCGCGGCGCTCCGGGCCCTGCGCGGCATCAGCGGGGGCCCCGCGCGGCCCCGCCGCCGCCCGCCCGCCGCGCTCCGCCGCCCGCCGCCGCCCCGCGCCCCGCAGCCACGCCCCGCTCCGCCCCGCCCCGCGCCCCCCCCCCCCCCACCCACCCCACCACATCCCATCCCATCCCATCCCACCCTCCCATCCCATCCCATCCCATCCCACCCCACCACATCCCATCCCATCCCATCCCATCCCATCCCATCCTCCCATCCCACCCCACCACATCCCATCCCATCCCACCCCACCCCACCCATCCCATCCCATCCCCATCCCATCCCACTCCCATCCCATCCCCCCCACCCCACCCCATCCCATCCCACCCCACTCATCCATCCATCCCATCCCATCCCATCCCATCCCATCCCATCCCACCCACCCCATCCCATCCCATCCCATCCCATCCCATCCATCCCATCCCATCCCATCCCACCCCATGCAGTGCTGATCTCAGTCACCTTTCTGATGTTTCAGCGCTACCTTGCACACCGCAGAGGCGTTTCGCTGGCATCTGCCCCGTGCACATGCAGACAGCGACCTCCAGCCCCGGGCACATGCCGGGACCCCGCAGCCTCCTGGTGATGCTCAGAGCCCAAGCATCGTTGCTGCACCCACACGTTCAGCACCAGCACGGGGGAGCAGCTGTCTGGGCAGGGGGAGTGGGAGATGCTGGGGGGAGAAAAGGCTGGCGGGGCACGGGGGGCTCTGGAGGAGGCTGGGCAGGAGGACAAGAGGTTGTCCTCAGACAACAGAGTCCTGAGAGGGGAGATGGGTGGTGGTGTCAGTGAATGGAGAGGGAGAGTGCAAGTGGACCCTGCATTGATTTAGAAATGAGTGGGAAGAGCAGCGGCCAGTGATGGGAAAATGGGAGGAGAGAGGCTGTGTGCTGGGTAAGGAATCACTGGGACAGGAGGAAGAGCGTGTGGTCAGCACATGCTCACAGCAGTGGCAGAGGAAGGCAGGCTGACACTGCTGGAATGGACCCATTGCTTGGACAACAGGCGCAAATAAAGGAAAATTTCCAGATGACCACAGGCAGGACATCCAAAAATCAGCCTTAGCATGCAAGGTCAGCTGCCCTCACCTTGCTCCTTCCAGATGTCACTGGCTCACAGGCCTTGGTGCTCAAAAGCCAAACGGGGTTGCACCTTCCTTCTTGCCCAGCAGCTCTGCAGCCTGCTAAGGCTTGCTTGTGCTTCTGGCTGAGTTTGTGCTTCCCCTTGACAGCTGTGGTCCTCCTGGCCCTTTGTCGCAGGAGCAGGAGCAGGAGCAGGGCAGGTCCCGTGGCAGCTGGACAAGCACAGCCCTGGTGGTGGCTCTGTAAAAGCCCACCACGGAGCTGTGCAAGACATCGAGCTGCTGGCACCTCCCCAAGGCAGGTGTGGGTGACTGCGGCTTCACAGATCTGGTGGGGGGTTCAGCAGAGGGTAGGAAGCCCACACGGATGTTTCAGCATGGTTTTGTTTTCTCTGTCTATCAGCATTGTCTCTTGAGGTGCTAGAAGAGGAAATCACAAAATCATGAGGACCAGAGCATTCGCCTCTCTCCAAAACTTCTTCAGGATCAGAGGCGTATAGGTTTTTCATCCCATTCTGCTGGGTCAGTAAAAATGAGATTTTTCCAGCTGTCATTTGTCTGCAAGGTGGTTGTAGATAGACAGGCAACAAATAGAAACAAACAAACAACAAACAACAACAACAAACAAACAGAAATATAAAGATCAGCCTGCCTTTTGTATTTGTGTCTCCTGACTGCACTAACCAAACCAACTGCTTGAAGAGCAATGATTTTCCCTGAATATACATGTCCCAGGAAGAAGGGGTGATGGCTTAGAGCTCATAGAGGTTCCCTCAGAGGTCCTTTGGTGTCCCACCCCTAAAGGAAGCCCTTCAGCCTTTTCCATCAAGGCGAAATCCTGGGCCATGAATCAGGTGATGTGAAAGAAGCCAACAAAAAAATTCTTCCCCCAAGCTCCCTGCCCAGGAGAAGGATGAGCTGGGACTGGCATTTTAAAATGAAGATGCAAAGCTAATTTTAGAAGCAAAACACGGATGGAATACCTCACCCCCTGCCTGGCCAGACCAGGCTGGCCTATGCTTTTGTCATAAAAACGTCAAAAATTCAAAAGATCAGATTTACTTTTAACTAGAGGCTTGTTCAAAGATCAGCATTTTGTATACTGGCACCTGTGTAAGTACGCAGGACTCCTGTTACAGTTTAACAGGAGGCCCTCGGGGCCGATGCAGCCCTTCGGGTATGTCTGGCTATTTTAAGTGGTGTCACATGCGCCAGATGTGTCTGCCCGCACGCACGGCTCCCCCGAGGGCCAGGCATGGCCCCTTCACCGTGTGCCAGGAGCAGAGGGGTTACCCCGCGGAGCATCGCCCTGTGGTGAGGAAGATGAGGGACTGGGTCCAAGAAATGTGGTCAGAGAGCTCTGGATTCCCACGCACACCGGTGTGAGGTGTGTTGTGCTGTGCTGTGCACAGAGCCACCACAGACCTGTACAGGGTCCTTCCCCACGGCAGCTTCAGCTTGCCCTTTATCATTTTGCTGATGTGTTTTGTCTTTTACCAGTGTTCCTGGTGTTCAACGTAAGGTACCAGGGTGGTGGAGGTGATATGTCTCTGTCCCTTTGCTCCACCACGTGAGATGGTGATGGTCTGCCTCAAAGAGTGGCCCACTGGATCAGCACAAAGTGCTTCAGAGAGAATGTGGCTCATCCAGGTCTGGTGGCTGCTGTTTGCAGGACATGATCCGCTCCTCCCTTCCAGAAGAGGTGTTCCTGTACCACATACATGATTTAAACATGTCAAAAGAGTTTGGTAAAAGGAATCTAAATTGATTTGTTTCAAGAAAAAAATTTGGTCTTCATTCAAAGTCTGCTGAAGTCAATGCAAGGGGATTTTGGATGGGGGCTGAAGCCACCTTCCTCTCATCTGTTTTGGTACTACATCATTAATCCGTTCTATTAAAACCCACTAATAAGTCTTGCACTTTTTTTTTTTTCTTTAATGAGTAAGGAAAACATTTTACTGACCCATCATATTTTGAAGCAGTTTGATTCCTAAATTTTCTGCATGAAAATAAACCAAAGGATAAGCTGGAGTGATAAATACTGATTAAAGCTTCACATTCCCTTGCTTAAGTTACTGTTAAATCTGAGTTCTGCTACAGTGCAGCACTTTACAGGAGAATGAAGGAACCAAAGTGCCATTACTTTTCAATGTACCCAGGGATCAACTTCTTTGAGCCAAGTGTTTTGCATGCTGCACCAGTGTGCATGCAGGAATGAGAGCACTTACATGGGATTTAGTGTAATTGGAAGTCAAGTCACAGAAGCATCATGGCAGTGATGGCACCATTCTTCAGAAACCTGTAATAAGGATGGAAATCACCCCATTTCTTCCCTACCACAGGGAAAAATTCAAAGGATCAGTAGGGAACCTGGAAAAGGGAGGAGGGAGCAAAGCTGAGACATCCACAGTCACTTGGGTAGACTCCTGCATGTTGCTTGTCACAGTAACTCCCTTTATTGAGCACATGCAAATCCACTTACCATGTGGTCTGCTGAAGATTTGAACCCTTTTCCCTCTGATTATAGCATCGATCCTTAGCGAGGAGAAGGGTCCCCCTGTGCAAGTCGAAGGGACCCCATGCTCCAGCAAGGGTTCCTCACCTTGTCGCAAAACAGGGCAGCGCTTCCCCGTGCTGTCCTCTCTTCAGGTTCACGGGATGGAAGAGAGGGCCTGGGATTGTCCTGGTGTCCTGAAGATCCAGTAGTTGCTACACCTCTGACTAACAGCAACCAAAATGCCTCTGATAGGGCTTTGCTTTAGGAAGGTGTCTTTTAGGCTCTGTCATCCTTCTGGAAGCAAGGGCTGAGTTGGCATTTTATTCTCCAAACTGCAGTAGTTTGAAAACCGCATCAATTATTTCTCACGTGCAGCTGTTTTTTATCCACAAGCTATGGCTCCAGGCATTTTGAGTTTTTTTCTCCCCTCTCTCTCCCTCTTCTTACCGTACATTTTGAACAAGCAGGAATGAAGGGGAACCAGCTAATCTGCACATGTTCCTTTTACAGGGGATTCAGAAGAAAAAAAAAAAAGAAAAAAGAAAAGAAAAAAAGAAAAAAAAGCAAAGCACAGGAGAGAAAGAGGTGGGAAGGACTGGCTGAAGAAAGAAAACTGTTGGTAGGCAGTCAGCGTAATTTCTGCAATGGAACCTGCACTTGCTGGATTATTGCCACCGCTGTTTACTTAGCTCCCACGTAACCTTTGCCCCTCCTGGTTCCCTACTTTTCTTGGCAATTGATATGCAGATAGCAAGACAACGATGAAATTGAAATGCCATAGAAACCCACAGCACCAATGCTTTCCGCGTCAGCTCTCCACTCCATCCCGCACTACAAGTGGTGATGGGGATTAACCTGCTGGCTGCTTCCCGTGTGCTGCCAGCCTCAGCATCTCCCGGGCAGAAAGCTGCTGGCAGCCGGGGCGAGCAGGCTCGGGCTCAGGGTCTTGTTTCAGCCCTGGCACCTGGCTCAAGCCCTGGGTGCAGCTGAGCTCCGGCAGTGATGGATAACGCAGACTTGTTCCCAGGCTCATTGTGCAGCCTTCAAAGGGGGCCAGAGCCCCCCAAGTCCTGAAGATACCAGCCCTCTCTCTCTCAGGCCATCTATTGCAATGATTGTGCCTATCCTGGCACAGAAGTCTGGCTTCTAAGTAGCCCTAAGCACCGTGACTTCATGCCCTGCCCACCATTTTGCAGCGGCTGATTCATGGTGGGATGCTCTGGGGATGCGTCTGGCAGATACATGGACCTGTGGAGCATGGGCTGTGTTTCAAATACCGAGCTCCAGCATGTTAGAGAGATGTGTCCATCTCCACAGCCCTCCCCATAGTATCAAAATCTCAGCTCAGATGCTGCTTTTACTTTTGGGTCTTGTCAGCCCTTCCATGCTGATTTAGGCATGGTTTTGCTTTCTGCTGGATGTACACGCAGGGTGACTTCATGCCTATTTCTGGTCTCTGACAACAATCTCCTCTCTTTTGCTAAGCAGAAGACAAAGCCAGTTCATATTTAAGATTCCTTGACCCATATGAGGCTGATGTACAGGAGAACGTGTACAGTAAGAGTCATCACATTGTGATGCAGTACAAGGACTCGGTGCCAGAAAGAGCTCGTGCTGGACTAAGTGCACTAATTACAGTCAGGCTTCATGGTACAGGTTACTGAGTGTGACTGTTGCTGAGGGCAGGCATAATTTGTAGCAGAAAATACTCTTTAGAGGGGGAATTTCTTCTTCTACGTGTCTAACATGCATCTACAGAGTGTCACATAGCCAAATGAATTACCTTCTTGGAAGTGGAAATGGAAGACCGCTTAGCTCTTTAAACTAGAAGGGTTTCATAATGTGGAATGTGCAGTCTGTGCTGTTGTGGCAGCGCAATGCAGCAGAGCTACGGACTCAAGTGGCTTGTGCCTACGAGTCTGCATTTAGTCAAGTCACCATTTGGCTGCTTTCGAGCTTGGATCACTAGGGAGCTTTTAAATATCATTTTTTTCTAGGTGGTTAAATATGACAACTCTGGTTCTTGGATGTGTCCGTGGATGTAGGACACGTATGGACTGGGAAGACAGCCAGGGAACCATCCTATTCCCAGCTGCCTTATTCTTACAGATATTAAAGATGCCAGGGGCCCCATGATTTCTGCTCTGGTTGAAAATTGAGGAATTAAGCTAAATTAGCCTGTATTAAGCTCCTACTTACAGCTAGTTTTGGTATCTCAAAACCATGCTGCAGGCAGCAGTGAAGACACGACATACCAGCACAGGCAGCAAAAAGCATGAACTCCTTTGAAGGAGTCCTCCAGGGGGGATCTCTATCCTCCTCAAAGCAACTCTGACTTTCAGGCCCTAGTGTGTTTGCCTCTGATTCACAACATCCAGCAGGAACGTAGGGATCTGGAGATGATTTGCAGCAGATAGCAGTAAGATGACAGATTGTTGCCAGAGGTCCCACTGGCCTTTACCCAAGAGGGTTTAGGATTTGGTTCCTAGAAGCTCTCAGAGGAGAAAAATGGTTTGACCCAGCTTCTGGGCACCTCCTTACTTGATGTGACTGTGCTTGAAAGGGGATGAAAGAGCACTCAAAAAGGGGCAGATAGCAGCCAGATGCTAATTTGTTTGAAGGAGATCATTTTATAAACAGCCCTGCAACTCTTGCTCATAAGGGTATGTGAATTCAGCAGGTAACTGGGATGTTTTTACAATATTTTTGAAGGAATTCAGGTTGCTGTATGCTTAGCCTGGGACAAGCCAAGAATGGTGGTTGTGGGGAGGATTAGTCTTTTTTTTTTGCCTTTGTTTTTGACCTGTTTCCCTGCCAGGTTTTCTGTTTAGTCTTAGGTAGGGTCTATGCTTGGGGTCCTTTAAGGTTTGATCGCTTTTTATGTTTATGGTGGAAAGATTCAGCTTGTTCATCTACTGAGACTGCTGCAGGTCCATGGAAGATATTACAGACTTACTCCTTGTGGATTTCCATGCAGTCCCAACAGTGGGTCCCTGAAATCGCTAAGGGTCAGGGTGCTTCTGTGGCACTTCCTGGCCATGGGACCATCATCTTCAAGAAAGTCAAAACCACATACCTAAGAGTGAGTCAGTAGCTGCTTTTTTTATTACTATTATTTTATTTTCATTTTTCTTCTGTTCATCATATGATCAGAAATGTGTTTGTTTTCTTCTTGGGCAATTTCACATTAAACAACAGGGACAACATTAATTGTACCAACTTCTTATCTTGAAATGAAAGTCTGCCCAGCTCTTTTAATTATTATGATTTTTGGAGCAACTTTCTGCATATCGTTAGATGTCGTCACTGACTAGGGTCCCTGAGAGTTTTGCTATTTGCTGTTTTCAGTATTCTGAAATGCCAAATTCACAAAGGAACTGAAGGGTGTGAAAGATGCCTTCACCTGTAACAGCAAGGTATTGTTTTGAGTATCAAGCAGAATTAAACTTCATTCTTAGAAAAGGATGCTAACCAACCAGCTACTGTAAGCTGAATGTTCAGATTTATTTAGCAAATTCCATTGCCTGCTGTAGCAGAGAGATTGCACATAAGAAAACAGTAATATCACCTGGCGCCTTGGGTAGAACTAGGTAGGACGTCCCATCTGTACAATAATGTATGTTCAAATGCAAAGCAAATGTATACGCCAAGTGGCACTGTGTCAGCAGAAACAAGCACAAGCGGTACACGCCAAAACACCCACCAAATCCCAGAGCAGTGTGGTAGGAGATAGGGGTACAAATGCCTGCAGGCAGTGAAAGGGCTTGAACTAAGGTCTTCCACATCCTGGATGTGCTGCTATTTCCACTGGGATGGCACCAGTAGCAGTCAGTGCCAATGCTGTTGCTGCTTCCGTTTGGTCTTCTGCCTTAATCACAAATGAGTCAAAAAAAGCTGCTGTGGATGTTATGAGATTTATTTCAGCATTTCTGAGTCATTATTTCTTGTTGCAGTGAAATCTATGTGCTTAATCTACAAACGCATTCAGCTACTCCAAACTGCATCTTTCAGTGAATGAAAGCTTTGACAAGGATTTTATTGCCCTGCCCTGAACTGATCAGCTGAAGCAAATATAGTCAACATGAAGGAGAATACATTTTGTCTCTTTGGGCTGGAAAAGAAAAAATAAAGGATCGCTCATTTCTATTGTGTCTTTTCTTGATCTCTTCTTCATGTTTTCTTTCTCAGTAACAGTTCTTGAGTCTCAAACTTTCTCTGCTTTCCCATGTTGTGGCCTAAATCCACCCTTTGCCTTCGCTTCTTGTCATCATGGTCTTTAATTCCCTCCTGTTCACAAAACTGTCCCTACTCCTGTAGCCTACACCTGATTTCTAACTGTGTTCTCAGCCCCTGACCTTTCATATACATCCATCCTATGCATCCCCACGTCTTTCTCTTTCCTCATTACCTTTCTTCTGGTATTTTTTATACCAAGCTGTTATAATATTTTGTGTAAGAAACTACCCCTGAAGAATATCAGACAATCAATCAAATAATAAAGGAAATGTTAAAGCGTGAGAGACTATACTTTTCTGGGTCATTGTAACATTCTTTACTCTGTGCTCTGAAGCATGAGTCCAGAAGCCAAATGATTCGTGGAACTCAAAACTGTGAGACAATCAGCCTTTGTGCTTTCTGTCTTTATAAATTGAGTCTAGACTTCTTGGAAAACATCCTATTGATAGCCTTGAAACCTCTCCTTCACAGCACAAGAATATTATTGCAGTGACAGTGTAATTTTCCAAACGCCCAAGCTAGGTCCCAGCACTTCAGATCTGTACCCACATCCTTACCTGATCAACAGGATAGTCCCACAGAAGCTGGTGGAGTCTCATGCCTAACATTTTGCACATGAAAGAGTGTTGCAGAGACCACTGTCTCTGTCCTTCTGTGCAGATTTGTGCTTAGCATCTAAAAATAATGAAGTACAGCAGAACAGTGGCAAGTTTCCACAATTATGCCCATAAAATCTCTGAAAGACAAACTTGGGAGCAGTCCTGGCACCGCAGGAGTGGTAGGGCAGTTTGTAAACAAGTTCATTGATCAATTCCACTCACTGCTAACTGATCTGATTCGCAGAGCAGTTTTGGTACATGAGAACTGGACTCCCCTTGAAGACCACTAAGCCCAAGGCTCTGCTCCAGGAGGGCAGCACCCAGGGGCACACGCGGGTTCGTGTGAGCGACCAGTCATTTGGGCA